TTATCAATGAAAAATAGCGTATTTTTGTGAGAAAAGTAAGTGCCAAGCATCCACATAATGACAATACCACCAAAAGTCCAGTGAGAAGTAGAGGTTAAGTGGAAACTTAGCCCGCCCGGTGTCTCGGGTTCAAGCCTCTGAGTTGAATTTAGCTAGAGAAAACTCTTGTTTTCTGTCCAATGCCATTGAGGCATGTAAAGTCTTCCCAAAGGAGTGGTGTGGAGTCTGATTCCGTGAGATTTCAAAAAAATAATCTTTAGAAGCTTGTTAAAGCCTGCTCACCTGTTTTATTTTGATGAATTACTGCTTATTCTTCTATCCTTCCCAATGATAAAGGATTTTTCGCCMGACCAGTAGGATCTCATCTCGTGCCTGTAACATCTTGATTGGCTTTATTATGAACTGTCACGACACCCGAGATAAATTAGGTTGCCAGGACTGTATATTCTCTTTTAAAAACTTCTTTCACCTAGTTGTTTTGTGTTTGGCCACTTCCTATTTTACCTTAAATTGATTGTTTCTCCTCTACTCTACAGATGACGAGGATAAACCTGGTGAAACCGAGTCAGATGAATTATCTAAGCAGTATGTGAAACCGATAGCTAATATATGTTTAATTTTTTTTTTTTCATTCCGGTCTGAATTACGTCAAGTCCTCATGTTGATCATCATATTTACTTTCTGATGATCACAGGACCAAAAGAATGTCTATAGAGATTGGACCCAGTAGCTTTGCTTCAAGAAAGAAGAAAAGCAAGAAAAGCTCTAAGTGAGCAACATTTTCTCAAGCACTTCCGATAATCCGACCGTATTCAGGTTACTTAGGTGAGCACGGACCGCCTCCGCTCGCCATCTGCAGTATGCTGCATCCATCTTCATAGGTCCTTATTTAATCACCATTTGTTTTTATCTTCTTCCCTTAATGTCTGAATTGACTGTACTCTTCTTAGCTTAGCTGATTGAAGTTTTGCTCTCTTGTTCCTTCTTTTGTAGCACTAGATATATAGATATATAGACTGGTCCCTAATTTTTGTTAAAATTCCGATGGGTCCCTAATATTTATTACATTTCTCAATTGCCCCTATTTTTGTAAAAGTTTTCAATTTTACTCTTAATGAATCACTTTAGCTTAAAATTTCCTGAAAATTTTATGGCTGGTGTTGTCGGGTTTTTTTTGTTTTTTTATTATTTTTTTAAATAACGTATTTTAAAAAGAAAATACAGAAATAATGTGATTGGATGCGATTTCACTTCAATCGCAGCCATTGGATGTGAGTTCACCGTTACTTTTCCAGCTGGAGCCATGTATTTGATGGAAATCGTGCATGCCATGCATGTGATTTTCGTCTGTCTTCGGTGCAGTGCCTTCCCTTTCCCTTGGCGTTTGTGGTTCGATTTTAGTTTCACGTACATTTGTTGTCTCTTGATCTAATTGTTGTCGACAACTTCAAAGTTTAGTAGGAGTCCATGACTCCAACCAAATTGTTGAGTATTTCTTGTTTATTAAATTCAAAGTAAATTTTAAATTGTTAGTCCATAACTKATATGTATTTGGCATAATTGAAATATTTTTGGMCTTATTTGAAAAGTTTTGAGCTAATTTAATGTTTAATTATTGCCAAATAAAATTTAAGACTATTGATACTGAAGAAGGGTTAATGTCCATGAAAATCGATCGAAATAAGTATAAGCTTAGGCATAGGGTCGAAATTTGTGAGCGAATAAGCCCTACCATTTGTTGTAAAAAAACCCTTACAGTTTAAATTCTGACTCAATTTTTACATTAAATAGTAATTTAAATTAAAAAATAAAAAATAATCTCTATATCAGTTTTGAAATTTCTTATTTAATTTACATTTCTTTGAAATCTACATTATTTTTGTAATTTATTGTGGAATTTATGAGCAATACAGTCATCTAATCTATTTATTATTATTTCATAAAATATATTTATTATCATTCCAGGCAGGTGGGTGTCATCTAATTATTAATTATATATGTTAACAAAACTATGAGAGAGTATTAAATTACAATTTTTTTTCTTTTGATTGAAATAAGACTCTTAAACTATAATGAGAGCATAGTTTAGTAGTGGGTGACTCGTTCATTTTCTTAAGGTCGGAGGATCAAGTTCTCGTACTTCCAATTTGTTGTACGATCTATTTGAGGTTTGATAGGTGAAGTGTTTAAATTTTTATAGCATGGTTCATAAAAATTCAGATCAATGTTTTAAATGTTTAGGTTGGGGGTATTTGTCAAAAATTATAAAAGAAATAATCAAATTAATAAATAATGATTTTACCATTTTTAAATTAGTGAAAGTTTCTTAATACTAATATTATGTCTTGGTGATATTTTGTTGACTTTTTTATATATTTTATTGATTTTTATACTATGTCGAGGTTGAGACATGAAAATGTCAATAGGTTGAGTTCTTCCAACTTTTTTAGTTAAACAAAATTGTCATATGCATGTAAACGTGAAACCTTTAAAACAAATGCATAGTGTCTTACCTAGTTGAGACTTAAGTTATCAATTTATGTTAATAAAACAATATTTTAACGTGACATTAAAGGTAAAGTTAAGAATTATRAAAAGAAGATTAAGGACTATTGATATATTTAGCCTAAAAAAAGTGGACTAAATACCTTCTTGCTCCCTAAAGTTTGGAGTAGATGTCTATTGGTCCTGAAGTTTGTAAAATGGGGCACTCAAATGTTTTGATGGTTAGTTGACTAACTTGCTTGATGAGTTGTTAAATTGATGATTGTAATTAGTGCAAAATATATTATTTAAATAAAATTTTCTTTTTTTTTTATTGTGATTGGATTATATTCTTCCCTCTTATATTTATTCTCTCCTCTCCTCCTTCCCCGACAAACTTCATCGCTACTCGTCTATCGCTTGTCTCCTCGTGTCGTTCGACTACCACAAGACGATARGTGAGTGCATATGATAGATGAGCGATATTTGATGGGCGGACAACGATGAAGAGGCATGCTACAGGTGAGCAACTACGAATAGGTGGTCGACATGCCACCAAATATCAATTGGAGGAGGAGGAAGAAGAGAAGGAGAAGATAATCCAATCAACACAAAAATATTATTTAAATAATATATTTTTCCATATCAATTACTACATTTAGTAATTTAACAGCCACATCATGTTGAAGTTAGTCAACTAATAATAAAAATATTTTAGCGACTATTTAGAATAATTTTACAAACTCCCCAAACTAAAAGTGTACCAAAAGTATATTTAGTTCAAAAAAGTTGATTTCTTTTAATACAATAAAGTGGATGGAAAATTGAACCTCGAAAGAAGAAAGAAGGGGATATCTCATGTTCACCTAAAAAAAGTAACTATCAGCTCCAAATTGTTCAATGATAAAGGCAACGTTAGTATATTTTGTTTTAATTAATTAATTTTTTTACAGACTTAGACTTGAATTTAGAAAATTGGTTATTGTTTTCTGTTAAAATATAATTTTGGTCTGTAAAGTTTACGTTTGTTTTAAACTTAATCTCTAAAGTTTAAGACTTCTATATTAGTTTATTAAAAAAGATCCTATATTAATTGTTCAAAAATTTAKAAGTTCCACATGAGGCATTTATCAACAAAACTTGACTTGATAAGGGATTGACAAAAATAAAAAAAAATTAATTAATAATATTTTAGATTCTTGTTTACAAAATATATTACTAATAAAACTGTGATTCTAACTCCTAAATCTATCATAATGATTCAGCAACTTTTTATGCAATCTATTATTTTAAATTTTATATTTTCAAATAACTGAAGAACAAATTTAATTTTTTAAGATTAAAATATTATTTTGTTATTTTTATTTTCAGCTTTAGTTCTTATTAGTTTTTTTTAAAACATTTATTTTCGTCCTTATACATTCAATTTTGATTTATTTTACTTTAAGTGACAACTTTGGTCCCTCAATTTTATTTTTRGTCTCATTTTTTATCASTATTTCATCATGATACTATACCAAATATATATTTTTGAAATAAAACCATGACTTTATATTAAATGATTTCCATTATGTGTAGAATTTATGATAAAATTTTGCAGATTTAGACCAAAATGACTATTTTTTAAAGTAAAAAAATTAAAATGAACATTTAAAAAATATATAAACTAAATTAAATCAAAATTAAAATTACACAGACTAAAACAAATATTTTAAAAGTAAAGTTTAAATTGAACCAAACTTAAAATTACACTACCGGAACAGTATTTTAAGAGAGAAAAAATTCAAAAAGGTATAAAAACCACCTCGTTTCGGTAAGAAATTTCGTAAATGACACAAAGCAAATCCGACGTCGTTTGGGCTTGAATTACTTTCACTTTTTCTTAAAAAATCAAAACGTCGTCGTTCCGTGTTCTTCTCTCGTCGCCCTCTGAACTTCTTCTTCTATCTACCCATCGGCGACGGTTTCATCATTCTCGTCGGCAAAGCGATTGCCGCCCCAACGGAATGGCTTTTAAACACCATTTTGTGCCCTTCGATTTTCGTTTCCTGGTCTCAACAAAAACCCTAGAAATTCGCCGCTGCCCTCTTCTTCTCCGGTTGCTCCACTTGCACCTCCGCCGCTTTACGCCCAAAAAAGTTACCGACGTCATCTGATCCCGGTAATTCCCCGGAGCTTTGGTCGTTGCTTTTTTATTTCAGTAGATCAGCTCATATTATTCTGCTGGCCGGTGATTATGCTCGAATACCCAGCCCCATTCCTTTGTTTTTGTTAAATCTTGCTATACATTAAACTAACAACTGATGTTTCTCCTTCATTAGGGACTGTAACTCTGCCACTCCAATTGATTTGTTCTTTTATAATTTTTATTCTCCCTATTTTGGATTTGGCTTTGATTTGATGGTCTGTGCTTTCACTTTCTGACAATTTCTAATTTGGACGGGCTTATTAAGTTGTTGGTTGGTTAGACCTGATGGTATAACAAATATTTGATTTTAGATCTCCTTTAAAACAGGGGGGAGAGAGATTGTTGGAGACCACAAATTGGTTTGGAATGATTTGTATGTTTGAATGGGTGTTTAATTTCAGGGGAAAAAAACACCTTAATTCATTGTTAGCTTTAGAAGTAGAGACAATGCTCATCTTATTTTATTGCTTACTTTCTTCTATTTATCTTAGATCCACTCTATTAAGTGTTTTCAAATTTCTATAGGAAACAATCATGAATGCCCCATGTGAAGATGTGGTATCTCCACCGAATGCTACTACCAAAGGTCAAAACGATAGGAAGCGAAAAGGTCTTCATGTGAAGTGCATGACATGTGATGCTTTATATCCTGGTCACTTTAAGAGAAATGAGATTGAAAGGATGAAAGCATATGGCAAGAACTACAGCCATGGCTTTCGCAGTCGTTGTCATTTTTCTTGCGGGGGAAAAGAAGTAAATAGAGAGTATTTGGATTCCAAAAGTAAATTTGTAGAAAATATTAGGATACTTATTGCAAAAATGATCATAATTGGTAAATTGCCCCTCAACTTTGTGAAGAATGAAGGGTTTAGGAGGTTTATGCAGCAGAGCGTGCGTCCATTTTGTCCTGAGTTTGTTATTCCCTCTTTGGCCACAGTTACTAGGGATATATTGGAAATATACAAAAGGGAGAAGGCATTAATGAGAACCATGATTGTAGATCAGAATAGTACGGTTTCTCTCACGGTGAATACTTGGACGTCGGATCAAGACATGAACTACATTGTTCTTACTGGACATTTCATCAATCTTGGTTGGAAAATACAGAGGAGAATTCTTAATTTTCGTCAAATTGAGAATCTCAGAGGAGAGACTATAGGAAGAGAAGTTGAAAAATGTTTGAAACAATGGAGTATTAAAAATATATTGACATTGACGGTAGACAATGCTCCTTCAAATGACACCGCTATTTCTTATTTAGTTGACCGTTTCAAGAATGGGTTGGTTTTGGATGGTAATTTTGTGAATGTTAGATGTTGTGCACATATTTTGAAATTGATTGTATGTGATGTGATGGAAGATTTTCATGAGTTGATATCTAAGGTTCGAAATGCTGTTAGATTTGTGAGGTCTTCTCCTACACGATATAGAAGCTTTGAAAAGTGTATCGAAGAGGAGAACTTATCCAACAACTTTGTGTGCCTTGATGTTCCAACTCAATGGGACAATACCTACGTAATGTTGGAGAGTGCTGAAAAGTTTGAAAAAGCATTTGAGAGACTAGGGATCCATGACACAACCTTTTTGAACGAGGATATTCCCGCTAGTGGAGATTGGGAAGTTATTAGAACACTTGTTCAATTCATATCATTATTTTATAAAGCGAGTTTAAGACTTTCTGGTTCTGTTCATGTCCTTTCAAATACGGTCTTTCATGAGATTATCACCATCCAAAATTATATCAAAAAGCATTCTTCCAATAGTGATAATCTTGTTCTCAATGACATTGCAATGAAAATACAGGCTAAGTATGATAAGTACTGGGGGAACGATGAAAATGCAAATTACCTTTTATATATTGCCGTGGTTTTGGACCCTCGTTACAAGATGAAATTTCTGTTATATTGCTTTAGTGAATTGTTTGGGGCCAATGTGGCAAAAGAGATGTGCAAGAAGGTTGAAGATATTTTGAGGCAATTATTTAGTGAATATAGATTGTTAATTCGTGACTATCACGACTCACCTACATCAAGCATGGACGGTTATTTCAATACTAGAACATGTACTACTGACGATGAGGATATTTTTGATGATGAGGCTTACCATTTGAAGGATATGTTTGAAAAAGTGAAGGAAGAAGATAAAAATGTTGATGCAGCCACAGAGGTGGACCTCTACTTGTTGGAGCCTCTTGTGGATAAATTCAAGGAATTTGACCTATTAAAATATTGGTGGCGTAATTGTCATAGATTCAGGGTTCTCAGTGAAATTACTCGAGAAATATTAGCAATCCCAGTATCCACTATTGCTTCGGAATCTGCATTTAAAATCGGTGGGAGAATGATTGATTCTACGTGCTTAACATTGGCTCCAAATTTAGTTGAGGTTCTCGCATGCTTGCAAAATTGGCTTAACACGGATAATGTGGGTATTGATCTTCGAGAACACATAAAGGACATTATTGGCATGGAAGAAGGTAAGGGAATCTTAGATTGTCTCCACGTCTTCTAATGTGTTATTGTTTGTTAATGTTATTTGTATTTTCTTTTATGTTTTTGATTTTGAAACAAGCTTAAAGGAAGCATCAATCATGGGAGAGAGGACGATAATGCTTGGTGAAAAGAAGGAATAAGATGTTCTAAATACGAACTCTTTAGAATTTCTCATCCAATTGATCTTTATGGTATTATGTTGAACAAACCATTTCAGGATTTTACCTTGAAAATTGTTAAACTGTGTCGTTAAGTTTTTGTTGCAATGAAGATTTTTGTTTGCTCAAGATGTTCTCTCCAGGTCATGTAAACAGTTTGAAGGAGGAGAACGCTTACACGGGACGGTTTCAAGGTACCCTTTTAAGTTTTATATTTGCATACTTCTAACCCAAAGTTATATGGTCGTTGAACAAACATGAATGGTGATGATAATTTTGCTATGTATTTTGGAATGGATTCTGGCTATTGTTCTCTTTTCTTACAAAATCCTTTATACGGTAGTTTGCAATGCCTTCCAATACAGCAGTACAAGCAGTATCCCATTTGTTAATTCAGTTTCATGACCCTTGTCTCTCAAAGATCTTTGTTTGTTTCTTTTTTTCGTCTTCGTGTTTCCGTGTATCAAAAGCTCTAGGACTAAGAATCATAGTGTAAGGAAACCCTCACAAAACTATATTCAGAATCAGAATAGAAGAAGCCTTACACAAGTTTCTCAAAACAATGAGGCAACCTGCAGCATAGAAATCCAAAAGCATATATAGACTTCTAACTAACTTGAAAAGACATAATTCCCAAACTAGCCTTTTGGAAATTCCCTCCCTGCCCCTCCTAAGTTTCTAACATAAGTATTGACAATTGGGGGTCTCACACATAGTCTACGATGATGTTTGTCGAAACGAGTCGATATATTTGGAGAGCAAATGTATAGTAAAACTAGGGCCCTTAAACTATCCATGGGCAAATTATAGTTATATGGATGTCTTATAATTCTCTTGAATGTTGTATACATATTTTGAACTTCTTTGCAGTTGCTTGTGATTATAATCAGGTGAAGAATTCTGAATATAGCAACAACAATCTCTTGAAATTCAGGATATTGGTTTTCTTATCAACTTTGGATTCTTGAGAGTGAAAAAGTTTAGATGAAATCTTATGAGATGAAAACTCTTAGGTGAAATATTTTCTGATATTTATTTATTTATTTACTATTATTATTTTTTTGAGTTCTATCACCTCTGCTAGAAGAAGGAAATACAGTATTGTTGTTGCTCGTGAACAAATTAGGTCTATTATTAACGTGTGATCCATCTGATTTATTATTGTTGATTAATGAATGAGCAGTAATCAGTATTAATAATTTCCCCAACACGTCACTCCATGGGCCATGTGTGGGCCTGCTTATTATGTTAAACTGGCTGATGATATTTATTTTCATTTTTATGAATGCAAAAAAAAAAAAAAAAAAAAATCATCCTTTTGGCCACATCGATAATTATTTAATGATAAAGTAATGTTTTCTTGGCGATTTTATATTTATAGACTTGTTTGAGAGTTAGTTTGAAATTTTGACTTTTTTTTTTCCGTTAAAATATAATGTTCGTAAGTCTTTATCATCAAAACTTGAGTCGGTAATTAATTGGAAAAAATGATATAATTTTTTATTTATTGTTAACATCTATGTGCAATTAACTAATAATTCATACGGGAAGTATTGATTAAGTAACTTTGCGAGGATAATTACACAAATAGACAATTTCTTAGATCCTATTTACATAAAAGTCTATTTTTCTGTTACCAAAATTACCCATGTAGCTATTATTTTAATAAAGGAATAAAAAAAATCCCTACAAATCAGCATGAAATTTTATGGGTACAAATCATGGTTTCCATATTAAAAAAAAATTGTCCACCTTCTTCCGAAAAATATTATGCAATTTTTGCACTGACATCATCAGAAAAATCACCATCCTTCCAAATATAACCATTGAAATCTAAAACATATTAAACGAGTATATGTTTATTATGTTCTATATTATATTATAAAGTATGTATTAAATAACCTACCATTTTAATATATACTAATAAAATGTATATATTATTATAACATATTAGACTATTATATGTTTATCATACTATAGGTTAGATTAAAAGGCATATATTATATAATGGTAGTCGAAAAAATGAAACAAACCGCTGGAAAATTAATGGGTCATCGAAAAAATCAAACCTATGGAAAAACAATAGAGTAGTCATCATAAGTTTGAGAAGCTAAATAATAGAGAAGTTAAAAGAAAAACTGTCGGAAAATTAAACTTTTAAAGTGGCATGAAAATAGTACCCGCTGAGATGGAAAATATCATTGTAATTAAAATGGAATAAAAAAAATATTAGGACAAGATTTATAATATAATAAATACATAATGTCATAATAGCAATATATGACAATGAAGATCTCTATTAATTTGAAAATAAATAGTTGAATTTTATATAATAAATATTATAAGACAACATTAATTAAGAGTAATATTGAAACAAAAAAATTGAAATCGAAATCTCGAAATCTAGATTTATAAAATTTAAAAAAAAAAGTGTATTTTATGAAATATCATTATTAAATTTAGGTATTTCAGATAATTTCCCTAACTAATAATTAATATCTATGTGAGGTTATGAAACTATTATGAAGATAGATGGAAAAAATGAAAACTATAGAGGTTATGAGAATTTATGAAAAACAAACTCACATGTACAATATTACTTATAAAGAACGTTGAATAATGATCTAATCGTCAATAAAGTATGCATTGTCACTCAACTTTTTTATTTATAATTGCCGAGAAAATAAGAAAGTTCACGGCCAAATTTCACACTTTCAAGTTTAAAAACATTTTTATGATTTAGTGTTTTAAATTTTAAAACATAAAATACGTAAGTAGAGATAAAACTTTCTGGTAAAAGTAGAAATGATAATGAACTCCCTGAAATAATAATTATACAAAATTTATATTATCTATATTTGAGAAATTTATAAATAATATTTTAAATTTAACAAAAATATTTAGTTAACTATTACCCTTCTTACTTCTTTATAAATATATTACTAAATTCATTGAATAATTTTTTAATTGAGACTTAACTTGTCAAACCGAACATTTCAAGTGGTTAAAACACATATTTTCACCATATGTTGTATTAAAAAAATAATAATAACAAATTATATTTTCACCCAAAATTATATTTATTAAAAAATCTAGAAAATTCCGGATTGTCAATATAGATCTTTTATTTTCATTCAATCTTTTATTTCCAGATTATGAGTGGAATGCATTATTAGAAATTTTACTTTTTCAAAACTAAAATAAAAAACTCAAAAGCCAAACAAACATAACTAAGCGGTAATTAACATATATTTCAAATCAAGAGGTCGTGAGTTCGATCCTCCACTCCCACCTGTTGTACTAAAAAAAACGCGGTTACTTTACGCATTGCATTGTCAAAATAGTATTCAAACCACCAAAGAAAAAAATTAAAAACAAAATCTTAAAACAAAAGGAAGAAGACATAGACCTAAAATCGTCACGAAAACCTATATTTTGCCTTGACGTTTTTAAACATTCACGAATATTACTTTTCGTGATGTTTTCTAAAACATCACGAATACCTTTTGTGATGGGGGCATATGTGACGTTGTAAAAACGTCACGAAAGGATTTTGTGACGTTTAAAAAATGTCACCAGAATCCAAATTTCACTAGTAAAGTGACTGGTAAAGTGATAGAAGAAGATAAAAATCTTGATGCAGCTACAAAGTTGGACCTCTACTTATTGGAACCTCTTGTGGGTAAATTCGAGGAGTTTGACAATGCAGCTACACATAGAGATTGGATCGTAAAGGAAGAAGGAAGAACTGAGACCACCGATGACTGGGGCCGGCCCACTTGAGAGCCGACCCCACCTTGGCGCCGAGACGTTGAGTCCTTCTCGGCTTTAGGTCGAGAAGGTTCTTGACCTCTCTCTCGGTCCTAGTGCCAATCAATCGATGTTCGGGCCCAAACCTGATAAAAAGGCATGTGTGTATCATGATCTAGTAAGCCCAACTATCTGGAGATGACCTAAGGTTGGAGTTCGGGAAACTCTAAGGGGGAGATCAACCATAAATAGAGGAGGAATCACCCATTAAAGGTAAGTCGAAATACACTAAGTACTTTGCTTAGTGATTCTCCCATAGCTGACTTTTGCATTGGAGCCCATGTGACATAAGTCACACCGGTTTAGGGTTACTCGGTTTTACAAGTATCCTGTCTCTTTATCATCGAGTTTGGTATGCATTTTAGAGAGAACCGAGAGGGTCAAAATCCAAGCATCAACCCCTGCAATATCTTTTGTTTATTGATTAATCCATTAAAGTTGTCTGCAATGGAGATTTTTTGTTTCATAAAATCTAAAAAAGTTAAAATATAAGCTCTTCAAATTTTGAGAAGTTCCACATTTATGTCCTTTTTATTTTTATTTTTTTTGGGAAACTGTCATCAAAATTATAGTTGATAATGAATAAAAATGATATAATTTATTTTGTTGTTAACAACATCTAGGTGTAATTAACAATAATTAATGGTGTGAAAACAACGATACAAAGATACTATACAGATCATTAGAAATATTTCCAGCATATAATCTAGGGTATTGGGAGTGATTTTTGCTMCCCAAAATCAATTTTTCATTGTCAAAATCACTTCCATTTTAATTGATATGTTTGACAAATTAAAAAATTGATTTTAGGAAAACTTAAAATCACTTTAAATTGATTTTTGAGGTATCACTTGAATGGATTTGTAATCCGTTAACTACATATAAATTATATAATGTATTTTTGTACCTTCTTATATATTATAAATTCAATTAGTCAAGAAAAAAATTAAATTCATTAATACTACRTTAACTTAGTACAATRATRGAGATTTGAAACCATAATGATCAGAGAGATGTGTCAATTATTGCAGCCCACATGTTATTGACACAACGCTAGGRTAAGTTTAACTACATGGATTTTTTAAAACTATTTTCCATCGCTTGATAACTAAACTAATGTAAAAACATATTCTCATATTAAGGGCTAAAAGTATATTTTACCGATTTTTTAAAGAAAAAAACTCGGAAATAAAGTTTTGGGGAAATGATACTGAGCCAAAGCGACGTCGTTTAGTTTAATGGCATTATTTTATCATTCTTTTATAAAACAGCAAGATGTAGCTGTTTCGCGTTATTGTTCTCGGTTCTCCTTCTTGGCTCTGAACTTCTTCTATATGTTCAGAACAACAGCGACGGTCTCATCAGCCTYGTCGCACAAACCAATGGCTTCTAAACATGATTTCCGTTTTCAGCCCTTCGATTTTCGTTTCGTGGTCTTTTCAAAAACCCTACCAATTCGCCGCTGCCCCCTTCTTCTCCGGTTGATCCCAAACAAGTTACCGGCGTCATCTGATATCGGTAATTCCCCCAAGATTTCATTCGATTTTCTGCATCTCTTGTTCGCTTCTTCATATCACAACTTTTTGCACCTTCATTTCTTTCATATGTTCTTGGTATTGTTTTAAAATTGGATTTGGCTTTGATTTGATGCCTATGTGCTTTCACTTTCTGACGATTTCTGCTTTGGATAGGCTTATTAAGTTGTTGGTTGGTTATACTAGACTAGGTGGTATAAGTATAACAAGTATTTGATTTTAGACCTCCTTTAAAACGGGGGAGACAGATTTTTGGAGACCACAAATTGGCTTGGAATGATTTGTATGTTTGAAAGGAATGGATGTTTAATTCAGGGAAAAAAAGAAACCTTAATTTCTTGTTAGCTTTAGAAGTAGAGACAATGCTCATTTTCTTTTATTGCTGCCTTACTTCTATTAAATATTTTCGAAGTTTTTTTTATAGGAAACCATCATGAATACCCCTTGTGAAGAAGAGGTTGAGGTTAAGGATGTGAAAGAGGATGAAAATGTAGGTGTATCTCCACTGACTGCTACTATGAAAGGTCAAAACGGTACGAAGGAAAAAGGTAATGTTGATGCCCCTCATGTCGAGCGCAAAAACTGTGGTGCTTTATATACTAGTCACTCAAAGAGAAATAAGATGGAAGAAGATCTTGAGATCTACAGCGACAAACATCCCCAGCATTGTACTTTTTATAATGGGGGAARAAATGCAAATGAAGAGGATTTGAATTCAGTAAGTGAAGAGGAGGTAGAAGACTATCCAGACTTATGGGATTCATTTGACTCACCAGACTCATCAACCCCTCGTGGAGTTTTCAACGCAAAAAGTGCAAGAATACTTATTGCAGAAATGATCATAATTGATAAATTGCCCCTCAACTTCGTGAACGATGAAGGGTTTAGAATGTTTATGGAGAAAATCATGTGTGCATTTGCTCCAGAGTTTGTTGTTCCCTCTCTAACCACAGTTGCTAGGGATATATTGGAAATATACCAGAGTCGGAAGGSATTCTTGCGTAGACTTATTTTCAATGACAATAGCACAGTTTCTCTCACAATCAATACTTGGACGTCGAATCAAGATATGAACTACATGGTTCTTACTGGACATTTTATTACTTTTGGTTGGACAATAGAGAGGAAGATTCTTAATTTTCGTCAAATTGAAAATCTCAGAGGAGAGACTATAGGACGAGAGGTTGAAAAATGTTTGAARCAATGGGGTATTGAAAATTTATTGACAGTGACAGTAGACAATGCTTCTTCAAATGACACCATTATTGCTTATTTAGTTAGTCGTTTCAAGGATGGGTTTCTTTTGCATGGTGATTTTGTGCATGTTAGCTGTGGTGAACATATTATGAATTTGATTGTACGCGATGTTATGGAAGACTTTCATGAGTTGATATCTAAGGTTCGAAATGCTGTTRGATTTGTGAGGTCTTCTCCCACGCGATATAGAAGCTTTGAAAAGTGTATCGAAGAGGAGAACTTATCTACCAACAATGTCGTGTGCCTTGATGTTCCAACTCGGTGGGACAATACCTACGTAATGCTGGAGGATGCTGAAAAGTTTGAAAAAGCATTTGAGAGACTAGGGATCCATGATACGACCTTTTTGAACGAGGATATTCCCTCTAGTAGAGATTGGGAGGTTATTAGAGCACTTGTTCAATTCTTATCGTTAATTTATAAGGCCAGTTTAAGACTTTCTGGTTCTGTTCATGTCCTTTCAAGTACGGTCTTTCATGAGATTAGCACCATCCAAAATTATATCAAAAGATGTTCTTCCAATGGTGGAAATCTTATTCTCAATGATATTGCAASGAAGATACAGGCTAAGTATGATAAGTATTGGTGGAATAATAGAAATGCAAATTACTTTTTATACATTGCCGTAGTTTTGGACCCTCGTTRCAAGATGAAATTTCTGATGTATTGCTTTAGTGAATTGTTCGGGGCCAATGTTGCGAAAGAGATGTGCAAGAAGGTAGAAGATATTTTGAAGAAATTATTTAGTGAATATAGGTTGTTAATTCGTGACTATGACGACTCACCTATTTCAAGCTTGGTGGATGATTCAAATACCAGCAAATGTACTACAAATGATGTTACAGAGGATATTTTTTATGACAAGGCTTACCATTTTAAGGATATGTTTGAAAAAGTGAGGGAAGAAGATAAAAATGTTGATGCAGCTACAGAGGTGGACCTCTACTTGTTGGAGCCTCTTGTGGATAAATTCAAGGAATTTGACCTATTAAGATATTGGCAATGTAATTCTGCTAGATTCMGGGTTCTCAGTAATATTGCTCGAGAAATATTAGCGATCCCGGTATCCACTATTGCTTCGGAATCTGTATTTAATATTAGTGGGAGAGTGATTGATTCTATGTGCCTAACATTGGCTCCAAATTTAGTTGAGGTTCTTGCATGCTTGCAAAATTGGCTTAACACGGATAATTTGGGTATTGATCTTCGAGAACATATAAAGGACATTATTGACATGGAAGAAGGTATGAGAATCTTCGATTGTTTCCATGTCTACTAATGTGTTATTGTTTGTTAATGTTATTTATATTTTCTTTTATGTTTTAGATTTCGAAACAAGCTTAAAGGAAGCATCGATCATGGGGAAGAGAACGACAATGCTTGGTGAAAAAAAGGAATAGAATGTTCTAAATATGAACTCTTTAGAATTTCTCATCCGATTGAACTTTATGGTACTATGTTGAACGAACCTTTTCAGGATTGTACCTTGAAAATTGTTAAACTGTGTCGTTAAGGTTTATCCTTTTGGTTGCAATGAAGACTTTTGTTTGCTCAAGATGTTCGTTCTAGGTCATGTAAACAGTTTCTGAAGGAGGAGAACGCTTTCACGGGACGGTTTCAGGTACCCTTTTAAGTTTTATATTTGCATACTTGTAACTCAAAGTTATATGGGCGTTGAACAAATATGAATATTGATCATAATTTTGCTATGTATTTTGGAATGGATTCTGGCTATTGTTCTCTTTTTTTACAAAATCTTTTATATGGTAGTTAGTTTGCAATGCCTTCCAATGCAGCAGTAGCCCATTGGTTAATTCAGTTGCATGACCTTTTTCTCTCAAAGGTCTTAGCCCTTTTCTTTTTCTTCTTCTTCTTCTTGTTTGCGCATATCGAAAGCTCTAGGAATCATAGTCTATGATGATGTTTGTCGAAATGAGTTGATAGATTTGCTAAATCTATTGTACAACTAGGACCCTTATGAATTCAGTAAACTATCCATGGTCGAATTATAGTTATATGGATGTCTTATAATTCTCTTGAATGTTGTATATATATTTTGAAATTCTTTGCAGAGGTGAAGAATTCTCAATATAGCAACAACAATCCCTTGAAATTCAGGTTACTGGTTTTCTTTATCAACGTTGAATTTGTTAGAGTGAAAAAGTTTACAGTTACAATATTGATGAAACCTTATGAGATGAGAACTTCTGGATGAAATATTTTCTCATATTTATTTATTATTATTATTATTATTATTATTATTATTATGATTTTGGGTTCTGTCGCCTCTGCTAAATGAAGGTAATATAGTGTCGTTGGTCGTGAACAAATTAGATCTATTATTAACATGTGTGATCCATCTAAATTATTATGAAATGTCATCATACTGGAGATAGTTTAGCAACAGGAAGATGTAGAATCAATGGCCAATAGTCGTTTGGTTTGTTTCATTATGTTCCAATTTGATGTCGAGATCTTGATCTCGTGGTGATTGTTACTCACCGAATCGCTAATGATCATTGAACCAAAATAATGTCCATAGATATTAGATCCAGCAGCTTTCCTTATAGAAAGAAGAAGAGAGTGAAAATCTCCATGTGACCGATATGTACTTGAGCATTCTTGATAACCCAACTGTATTCACCYATTTTCTCCCTTAAATTTTTTTTTAATACAATATGTGGGCCTAGAGGATCAAACTCACAACTATATCAATTATTGTTGAGCTAGYCTCGTTTTGGCTTTTCCCTCYGGAGTTAAATTTATTATTTATGTATAATTCTTTAATGCCAAGACTCTGCATCAGCAATGAAGAGTAGTCGGTATTAATTTGGTAATTTTCCCAACATGTCACTCTATGGGCCATGTTTGGGCCTGCTTATTGTGGTAAATTGGATAATGATAATTATTGTCATTTTTATGAGTGCATGTAAAAAAAAATTATATTTACCCATTTTGCCACATTGATAATTATTTAATTGAGATTTAACTTTACTTCCAACTGTAGAAGAAACTTCCGATAAATCGAAAAAATTCTCTAAAGATCGCTAGACTGTCTGTAGATTTTCGAAGATTATAATACTTAAAATACTTTAAAAACTTAAAAGAATTATGAATTTATAAAGATATGTCATGCATACTTGTTTTTCATTCAATCTTTTATTTCCAGGTCACTAATGGGGTCAAACCGAACCTAGCTAGCTTAGTGGTAATTTACATAGAAACTGAATAACATCTTTATATTTTTGGGTTTTTTCTACCTATTGAAATTATAAAAGCACCTCAATCTTTGAGGTAGCAAAGACGAGACTTAGTAGGGTTTTAGATTAAAATTTTTAAATTTCTTGAAATGTAGTTAGAAATTTGTATTAAAGAGTTTTATGGAATATAAAAATTGTGTTAAAATTATGGAAGCATAAATTAAAATGGTCACTTTTTAGAACTACATCTAACAATTGGTTTGACAGTTGAGTTTCTTTTTCTTTTTCTTTTTCTAAAAAATTGAAAGTTCAGCAACTTTGATCCTCATACTCGGAACCGATCTAGTGGGGACGGGTGGGGCCTTGGTACTTATTCTTTCCATTTGCACTTGAAAGTTTCTTTATAATAATTCTTTAATGTTAGATTATACATCATTCTTAATTTATGTTAACTTTTTTTAAGTACAATGATGTTGAGGGTGGATATTCCAACCTATGATTTTTTGGTCGAAGATATATATCATAACTTGTTAAATTATGTTTAGGTTGGCAACTCATGCACACTTTATTTTTTTTAGTACAACAAATGTGGAGGTGGGGGTTTGAACTCTCGACCTTTAGTAAAAGTCTAAGATCCTTAACTTCTGAATTAAACTCATGTTGACTAATGCTAAGTCATCAGCTAAGATTGATAGATTTTGGTGGACGACAATGATAATATAAGGAAGATTTATTGGATCAAATTGGAGAATTTGCATATCCCAAAGTTTCAAGGGAGATTTGATTTTAGGGGGAGAGTGAATTTCCATTTGAGCGATGAGATGCGTAGAGATCGGAAAGGACACTAACGACGAAAGCATTCTGTTGGGTCGATACTGCATCATTTAAGGTGAAGGTTGTGCCTATCATGATGATTCCAATGACTAGCAACCAACCAGACAACCATATGTTTCGATCCGCATTGAACGTCGGACTGACTTATCACCGACGGTTTGTTCAGGGTTCCAACCTCAATGGTTGACAACTAAATACGAGGGTTGCGCTTGTTGCAAGATAGCTTCAATCAAGTACTTTTGGCAAGACGAGGAGGGCGTATTCTCACAAAACCCTACTCTCTTGTTGCTAGGGTCCTAAAGAGCAAGTATTTTCGAGCCTCATTCTTTTCTTGAACCAAATTATATGAACGAGAACATAAATTTGTTAGTCGCCAATTTAATTAACCTCACTTGACATTGAACCAAGTCGTTGGTCTGACAGCTGTTTGAAGAAGAGGGGGTAGACGGAATTCTTGGTATCATCCCCCCAAATTTATGTAGAGCTCCACTAAAAATGTGTTGTTCACGGTAAAAACTGCCTAACAAGGTTTTAAATATCAATAAAAATGTAGAGGTCTCAATTTCATGGAAATATCGATAATGTCAATGTCGATGAATATTTCTATAAAAGTTAGAAAAATTAAAAAATCGTAAAAAAATAAACAAATAAACATTTTTCCATTTCTTAATTAGTTAAAAATATAATTAATCTTGATATTATATATATATTAGTGACGTTTTGTTGATATTTTTTTATATTTTATCGATTCTCTTGTACTATAATGAAAATGTCGATTTACCCTTCATGTCGATGGAAATGTCGACGGATATTTAAAATCATGCTACCAAAACAGTCACTAATGAATATTTTAAAAATACAAGGACTAATATAAACAAAAATTGAGAGTGTTATTTTGAGAGAACTAAAATGAAACCAACTTCAATAACCAAAATGACATTTTAACCTATTTAAAAACATAAAACAAATACATTATCAAACACCACGACTAGATAATTAAAATTTACAATAATTTTGTTGATTATTTTCTTGTCAATAAACCATCTTAGAGAAATTCTTAGCATTTAGTTAATCAATGATATTATAAATTAGAGACATGACCACTCCCAATCAACAAATATGAAAAGTTTAATTCATTTGAACTGAGTTTATATATCACCACATCATAATTCAAAATGTGGGGTAATTATTATGGACTGTGGATCAGAACCTATCGTTTGCATGCAAATTGATTATTTAAACTAACCATTAATTGATATATATTTCCAATTAAGAGGTTGTGAGTTTGATTCTCAATACTTTCAACTTTTATTTGGACGTTTTGAAAGTGTACCTAGACTAAAGTGAACAAAATTTAAAAGTCCAGAGACAAAAATAAATTAAATTTTGACGTTTTGAAAGTCTATACAGACTAAAATAAACAAAATTTAAAAGTCCAGAGACAAAAATAAATTAAAACAAAAAATACAGGGATCAAAATAGTATGATAAACAAGAAGAGTGGGTGGAGAAAATATTAAATAAGAGGAACACTAAACAATGAATACACCCCTTCCTATGACTTCCTTTACCGTACAACTTTATTTACTCTTCAAAAGATTTATCTCTAATAGAAAGATGGTATGCTATTCTAAAAGGTTTATAATTAACTTTAATATTAAAAAAATTATCAATTTTTCTTTTAGTACGACATGTACTAGGATACATTTTTTGGTTGAGATATATATCTTAACTAGTCAAGTTATATTCAAATTGACCAAAAAAGAATTTGAGTTATATTTTTATGTTAGCGCGACTCAAAACTCTTCTTAAGTGTTAGTGGTAATGCATTAAATTTTCTTATTTAACCCCTTATTTAAAAAAAATGTTATAATTATTTAATATATAGTTGATGTGTCAATCAATTATTATTCTATTAACATGGTTAAACACGTGGACATGCCACCTAGAAAAAGCACAAAGTAGCATTCGATGTGAGGCTATTTTGTCTATTTTGCCTCTTACTTTTATAAAACTAGGGTTGAATCTTATTTTGGTCTTTAAACTTTCAAAATTATTTTATTTTAGTCATGAACTTTCAAAATGTCAATTTTGGTCCATGAATTTTTAAGTTTGTTTCATTTTGGTCCCTCAACTTCTAAAATGTCTATTTTAGTTTATAAACTAATAAATATATGTATATATACATACATATTACATACGTACGTATATACATACGTGTATATATATACGTACGTACACACATATATATAGACCATTTTGGTCCTTACTTTTATTTTGATTTTTACAAATTAATAACATGGCTTCGAATATGTGCACAATCACATAGGTCAAAAACAAATATTGAGTAAGCAAAATTAAGGTAGAAAAATATTCTTACAATAACCAATGGTTAATTTGGCAAATATGAACCAGGCTTAGTAGTAATTGACATATACTTATTGTCTGGTTCGATTTCCACACATTCCCAAACTATTTACTCAAAAGAAAGAAAAGAAATAAATTATTAATTTGAAGTTCAGTGACTAAAATAAATATTTTAAAATTTAAGAGACTAAAKGAACAACGCTGGGAGTGCAAAGATCAAAATAAAATAAAATCGTTAAAACGACTTCGTTTGGGTACTAACAAAATGATACTAAGCATAAAACGACGTTATGTTATGTACTATCTTTTTGAAGAAAAGCAAAACGTCGACGTTCCGCTTCTTCTTCTCTCTGCCCAGCCGCCGCCCGCCTCTGAACTTCTCCTCTCCGTCCACGCGCCGTCGGTTTCATCGGTTTCGGTCGGTTAGCCGAATTCCGCCGAACCGAGTTCGATTTTGATCGGATTTTGAATTTCCTTATTTCACCCCACGCCATTAATAATGGGTTTTAAACACGATTCTGTGCGCTTCGATTTTCGTATTGCGGTCTCAACAAAAACCCTAAGATTTCGCCGCTGCCCTCTTCTTCTCCGATTGCTCCTCCGCCGTTTCCGCCGCCCAAAGAAGTTACCGACGCCATCTGTTATCGGAAATTCCCGAAGCTTTGGTCGTTGCATTTTTATTTCGGTAGATTAACTCATATTGTTTCGCTGGCCTGTGACTATGCTCGAATACCCCGTTCCTTGTTTTTGTAAAATCTTACTATACGTTAAATAAACAGCTGATGTTTCTCTTTCATTAAAGATTTTTATGATAATGACTGCTCCAAATTTATTAAAATTTGAACTACTAATGTCAGGGGAGCTTGGGTTTTCTCCCCACTGTTCTTCTTCTTCTTCTAGTCTACTTACTCTTATTCATCGGAAGTTTTTTTTTTTTTTCTTTAAGATATCCGCGAGCGTTTTAGCCACCTTGCCTTGACTATTTTTTTTTCCGTAGATAACCGTCTTATACTACTATATTTAGTTGGCTCAAGTATCCAGAAAGATATTAAATCTTAAGTAGGCGGTTATCGTGGTCTTGGAAGATGACTTTCAAGGATCTAACTTCAAGAATGATTGAGGCATGTCAGTATTCTCTTAAGACTTTCTTGAAGGAGGATACTAATATGTAGGGGAGAATCTTTGTTTGCCCACGACTGCAATTGATGTTAGTTTTGGTTGAATAGAAGTAATTTTTCTTTTTTCAAGTACAACATGTGGGGTGGAGATCTGAACTCAGAATCTTTTAGTCTGTGATATATCTCTTAATCAACTATGGTTAGGTTGGCTAGAATAAAAACAATTTAGAGACKGTAAATCCGACACTTGAATTCTCACCCTACCATGATTATTATTTATTATGCTTCAATTGTATTTAGGCTAAAATCCTACTGATCACTCATTTCTCTATTTGACTTCAATTTTACTTTCCATCAATCTGAATTCTTGATGAATTAACCATTTGTCTATCTCTGTTTCTTTGATCTTTCAACCTTTGCCACTTATAAGTTTGTAGCTTAAATTATTGTTACAGTTAACCATTTTAACCTAAAGCCACATGTCTATATTAACAAATTTCTATCTTTTATGATGTTTTTTCGATTTTTTTTTTCACTTTTTTTTTTCTTTCAATTTTGTCTCTTTCCTTCGTGTGTACTTGAAATTGTTTTAAAAGTTGGATTTGGCTTTGATTTGATGGTTTCTGCTCTGGATAGGCCTATTGAGTTGTTGGTTAGTTAGACTTGATGGTATAACAAATATSTAAACCTCCTTTAATATTAAACTTTGAGTTGTTTTCTTRGTCGGGAAAATTTTAAAATGGGGGGAAGAGAGATTGTTAGAACCAAAAATTGTGTTGGGATGATTGGTATGTATAAAAGGATGTTTAATTGCAATATAGGAAAAAATATATTTGAAATAACTTAGAGGCTTTCCCTCTTTGATTGGATATTATTGTTAGCTTTATAACTAAAGACAATGTTCATTACCACTTATTGCTTACGTTCTCCTATTGATTTTAGATCTACTCTAATAAGTATTTTCAAATTTTTGTAGGAAACCATCATGAATACCCCGCGTGCAAACGAGGTTGAGGTTGCGAATGAGGATGAAAATTTACGTGTATCTTCATCAAATGCTACTACGAAAGGTCAAAACAATAAGAAGCGAAAAGGTAATGTTGACGACCCTCATGCTGAGTGCAAATTCTGTGGTGCTTTATATACTAGTCACTCAAAGAGAGATGGGATGAAAAATATGAATGCACATCTTGAGAACTACAACCGTTGTACTTTTTGTAGTTGGGAAAAAGATGCAAAGAAAGAGGATTTGAATTTAAAAAGTGAAGAGGAGGAAGGAGAGGATTCAGTGTCATCATACACATCACCTAATAACGGAGCTTTCGATGGAAAAATAGCACGAATACTAATTGCAAAAATGATCATAATTGATAAATTGCCCCTCAAGTTTATGGAGAGCGAAGGGTTTAGAAGATTTATGGAGCAGACCGTGTGTGCACTAGCTCCCGAGTTCGTTATTCCTTCTCCAGCTACAGTAGCTAGAGATATATTGGGAATACACGGGGCTGAGAAGCAATATTTGAGAAACCTTATTGTAAATGAGGGTCATAGAGTTTCTCTCTCAATTGATACTTGGACGTCAGATCAAGATATAAACCACATAGTTCTTACAGGACATTTCATTGATGTTGATTGGAAATTGCATAGGAAGATTCTTAATTTTCGTCAAATTGAAGATCACAAAGGAGAGACTATAGGAAGAGAAGTTGAAAAATGTTTGAAACAATGGGGTATTGGAAAAATATTAACATTGACGATAGACAATGCTTCTTCAAATGACACTGCTATTGCATATTTAGTTAACCGTTTCAAGAATGAGTTAGTTTTGGATGGTAATTTTGTGCATGTTAGGCGTTGTGCACATATTATTTGAATTTGATTGTTTGTGATGTCATGGAAGATTTTCGTGAGTTGATATCTAAGGTTCGAAATGCGGTTAGATTCGTGAGATCTTCCTCTCCACGATATAGAAGCTTTGGAAAATGTGTCAAAGAGGAGAACTTGTCTAGCAAGATCATTATGTGCCTTGATGTTCCTACTAGGTGGGATAATACGTACATGATGTTGGAGGGTGCTGTAAAGTTTGAAAAAGAATTTGAGAGACTAAAGATCCATGACACGACCTATTTGAATGAGGATATTCCCGCCAGTAGAGATTGGGAGGTTGTTAGAACACTTGTTGAGTTCTTATCGTTATTTTATGAAGCGACCTTAAAACTTTCTACTTCTGTTCATGTCCTTTCAAATAGCATCTTTCATGAGATTAGTACTCTCCAAAATTATATCAAAATGCGTGGTTTGAATAGTGACAATCTTGTTCTCAATGGCATTGCGATGAAAGTGCAGACTAAATATGATAAGTATTGGTGGAATAGTGAAAGTGCAAATTACTTAATATATGTTTCGGTGGTTCTGAGCCCTTGTTGCAAGATGAAATTTCTATCCTATTGCTTTAGAAAATTGTTTGATGCCAATGTGGCGCAAGAGATGTGCAAGAAGGTTGAAGATATTTTGAGGCAATTATTCAATGAGTATAGTTTGTCTATTGACAACAATGACTCGCCTACTCCGAGCATGTTCCATCATTCAAATACCAGAGAATGTTCTACAAATGATGCTACGGATGATGAGTTTGATACTTTTGATTATTATTATGATGTTATCCATAAGTTTTATGCGGCGATGGAAGAGGAAGACAATCTTAATTTAGCTACAGAGGTGGATATCTACTTATTGGAAGCTTGTGCGAATCAAGGGAAGGATTTTGACATATTAAAATGGTGGAAGGATAATTCTAGTAGGTACAAGGTTCTTGGTAAAATTGCTCGAGAAATATTAGCAATTCCAGTGTCCACTATTGCTGCAGAGTCTGCGTTTGATATCGGTGGGAGAGTGATTGATTCTGTGTGCTTTACATCAGCTCCAAATTTAGTTGAGGTTCTTGCATGCCTGCAAAGTTGGCTTAATGAGGATGCTACGAGTATTGATCTTCGAGAACATATAAAGGACATTAGTCACATGGAAGAAGGTATAGAAAATTTAGAATATGCTCATGTTTACTAATGTGTTATTTTTTTTGTTAATGTTATTTTTTTTTTAATTTTCTTTTTTGTTTTAGATCTTGAAACAAGCTTAAAGGAAGTATCAAGAATGGCAGAGATGTCTTTTCTGTTGAACTTCATGGTACCTTGAAAACTGTTAAACTTTATCGTCAAGTTGCGTATAGTATCCTTGATTTAATCCATTAAAGTTGTTGTATCTTTGGCTTAAATGGAGATTTTTGTTTGCTCATAAGTAGGATGTCGTATAATTTCCTTGCATTTATTTATTATTATTATTTTCTTTGATATCTGTGAGTGTTCGGACAGCTGGCACGTACCTCGACTATTCTCACAAGACAACTTCCTGACCATATTAGTTATATATATATTCGTTCCAATCTAACTCAAGACTCTAGCCCTTGAATTACCCGCTCATAAAAGTTGTAGTTGCTTGTAAGGTTATCTAATGAAGAATTATTGATGATACTTATGAATCGCTCGATCTCTTGAAATTCGAGATATCGTGAAGTAAAAGAATCACTCAGTCTCTTATGAAATGAGAGCATTTTGGTGATATACTTTGTGATTCATTGTTTGGAAAGACTTCGAGTTTTGAGTGGAAACTTAGCCCAATTTCTTAATTTCAAGCTTCCAAGTAGAATGCTTAACAAGAGACTTTTGTCTGTCTCTCGGAAGCCACTAAGAAAATATATATTTGGAAACTTGTTAAAGCTTTTCAACTTGCTTTATTTTGATGAATTACTGCTTATTCTTCTATGATTTTTAATGGCAGAGTTCTTGAATATGATCTATATGAACGACATTTCCTCAAGCGCTCCCCGATAATCCAACCGTATTCGAGTTACTTAGGCCTGCACCGACCGCCTCTACTCACCATCTCCGGTAGGCTGCATGTTCATAGGTGCTGAGTTTTCCAGTTTCAGCTGCTGCTTATTTAATCACCATGTGTTTTTATCTTCACCCTTGAATGTCTGAACTGGTATATTCTTCTTAGCTTAGCCTTATTTTGCTTGCAAACTTTCATATGGTCGATTGAATCTTCATTCTGCAGCCTTCTTTTTATTTTTGGAAGAAAAGTATATATAGATTGACCCCTAATATTCAGTAGATTTTTTAACTTTAATTCCTGATAGTAGTATATTTTTCAATTTTGTCCCTGTTCTTTCTAAATTTTCAATTTTGTTCTAAATCTATCTATCATTTAGTTCTTTTCCTTTTTCTTTTTTGACAAAAAAAAAGAGTCAAATTTGTAATGATAATAAGATTAAATATAAGAGGGTCGGCGGCGTTAAGTAGAAGTATTATAGGTGTTGAAAATAAAATATTATCATATATGAGATTACTTTGGAGGTGATTTTTTTTGGTCTGAGTGATTGACCAAGAATCGTCTAATAACATAATCATTACTTTTGATGTGACCTAATAGTAATTCAGCTATTCAAAAATTACTTATAAATAAAATATTAATCATTTAAATTTACTTTTTATGAAAATATTTTTTTTTTTTTTACAAAACTACTTAGAATCATGGTGCTAAATATTCGTCGATACGTCGACATTTTCATCGACATATCTATGTTTTCATGGGTTCGACATCGTCATAAGGGGTGAATCGACATTTCCGTCATAGTACAAGAAAATCGACAAAATATGAAAAATATAGATAAAATGTCACTAATATATATATATATAATGTTAATATTGATTATTTTTAACTAATTTAGAAATAGAAAAATGTTTATTTGTTAATTTAAATATTTTTACAGACTTTTTAATTTTTCTAACTTTTACAGAAATATCTATCGACATCACTTTTTTATCGATATTTTCATTAAATTAAGACCTCGACATTTCCTAGTTAACGTACTCATCTTCGACTAAAAGGTCTTGAGTTCAAATTTTCATCATGGCATGTTGTACTAAAAAAAAAGTTTCTTCCTAGAATTAGATTGAGCAATCCATTTACTCTCCTAGATTAGATAAATTATGTGAAATATTTTAAAAGAATATATATATAAAGAATATAACTATTCCATCTAAGGATGTTGAAGACCTCAACCTTCGTGTACAAGGTTGATACGGGACAATTAAAACTGCAATATTTTTAAAGATAGTTTGCAAATAATAATATTTAAATAATTTGTTTTATTTTTTAGTAATATAAAAAAAAATCCTAGGTTAGGTAGGTAAACTGTGTAGCTTTTTTTCAATAATTGAGAGAGTTGGTATGTATAATTAACAACATTGATTTTTGTTAGTTGATTTTTTTTTTCACTATGCAAATTTGAAAGTTGAGTTTGCGGTTCAAACTTAATTTTGTAATTAATTTAATTAGAGTGGATTATTCATGAAAATTACTCTTAATTATATCAAAAGAAAACAATTAGGAACACCAAACTTAAAAGGACAATGAGATTTTGCTTGCGTGTGAAGAATGCGAGACAATCCACGCAACCTTTTACTTCATATGGGTAAACATGACACGTGTCACTCTCACGTGTTTTGTCCAGCATCCGTTTACTTCCAGAAAATGAGCATCAATGAATCAAAATTAAATTGCTCCTTTGGTAACTTTTTTGTTTCCAATTTTACTATAAAAAGTTAAGAATTTTACAACGAACTATTTCTCATTTCTTCGGAAATATTCTCAAAAGTGTATAGAAATTTTGGAAATAACTAAAACATATTTCTTCTTTCTTGTTCGAATTTTCATTTGTTCCAAAACATAAATAAAAAAATTATTTTGTCATACTTAAATTCGTAAATGTTAGAGTCAATTAAATACATTTTATTTATAAAAATGAAAAAACATAAATAATAAATGGAAACGTCACCAAACCTAAAATTTTCATTTTCTTGATGTATTTACTATGAAATCAATTGATGTTGGATCGACCCAAACTTTGTATTCTCCCTTTTCCTACAATAGTATAATCTCATTCTTCCGGTAAGATTATTACTTTTTAATTAATTGATTTAAATTATTATTATTTCTTTTTTTTTTACTACTAATAATTTTTCTTCTAATAAAAATTTATTAAAATTTTATTAGTTGATATGATTTTACTCTAAAATATTACAAATTTCTATTTAGTTTTTTAGATAATTAGTTTTACTTATTGTTATTATTATCTTTTGTTACTATTCATTAATCTCAATACATTTTTAAAATATAATTTATTATTATTAAATGTTACAACACAAAAATTTAATAGTATTTTATATTACAGAGAGGTTACTCTAATAAAAAATTATTTTAATTGATGTTATTTTATTTTAATTATTTATTATTTGTTATATTATATAAACCGTAATAAAATAAAATAAATTATTATTATTATTTTAACTAAAAAATAACAATGTAACAATGTAATTGTAATTAGTTAGAAATAATAGTGCCGTATATTAGTAATTACTATATATTTGATCCCTATTTCGATTCTAGATAGCTTAAATAAATAAATTTCTTATCCTGATTCCAAAAAAAATTTAGTAAACAACATCAAAATGAATAATATGTGAACTTTTTTTAAAACAACATGTTGGGATGGAGGATCGAACTTACAACCTCTTGGTTGGAGGTATATGTTAATTATCGTGAGCTATGCTCGTTTTGAAAAATTGAAATGAGTTGATAACAAAAATTTAAATGCCAAAAAAAATGTGAAAGTTTGAATTTAAAAATATTTTGTCAATTTATTTTTAAAAAATAATTATAAATTTATAACCCTTGAAAATAGATTAAAAACACCTACTATCTTTTGTAAAATATATTTGGACAATTTTATTTATCCGTCAAATTTTAAATTTAAAAAATATGTTCGTCATAATCCGTTGTCAAAATCTAGTAAATTATATTAGTTTAATTTAAATCACAAAATGTAATATGAAAAGTTTTGTGTTAATCATATATATTTTTTCATTACTCTTATTTCACTCTAGATTTTTTTTATGCTAAATATCTCTTTCTGTACTCTCAAAATATTTTTACCAATAGCCTAGGAATATTTTCTAACTTATTTCTCTTTCATTATTGCAGTTTCCTTTAATATTATCAACATTTTTACCTTAAGTATGATTGTTGCTATCAACAATAAATTTCACTATCGTCAGAATGATCAACTACTACTACAATTCATATAAGTTATGATTGCATCAATCGTTCCCATAAAATAAAGTTTTCGTTATAACTTATAATGATATTATATATATATATATATATATATATTTTTTTTTTTTTATAGTTAAAATAGAACTACAAAATTTCTCGTAGATGGCATGTTTCTAACTAGTATTATATAAATAAATGGTTGCCGGTAATTGAACGGTTGGGGTTGCAAACATAAAATATTTGAGGTTACGCAACATTATATTTATCATTTATTTTAATAAGAGACGTGCCATTGTATTTAATAGACATGACAACACTAAATATTTTATAATTAAAACCTAATCCAGATCAATAAAGAAGATTCAGTCGTTCGATTCCGAATTGGGAATCCGATAAAATTTTCATTTTCGTTCTTCAAAGTCTTCGAAACCCACTAATTCCAACCAATTTTTCTGCATTGCTTCGCTGCGAAACTTCAAATTTCTGCCTAATCAAGGAATCGTTTTACCGGAATAACAAACTCCAGATTCCCGTTCGAAGAAGTCAAAAATCTGATCCACTTTACAGTTTTCCTTTTCCTCTTTTCGCTGAATGATTTGATTTTATTGTCTTCGTTCTGCATTCCATCTTTGAAGTGGAGTGACTTTCGTCAATTGCGCAAAGGGCAAGCAAATTTAGGAACGCCAGGCGACGGTACGTAGTTCATTTTCTTTCTTTTTCGAGATGCTTTTCAGCTTTTTCATCATTGGTTTCCGGGAAATTCTGTTGTTCGATACGTCTGTAATTGCTCGAATGTGGGGGGGCTATTAATAGCGTTCGAGTCCCGCAGATTTAAACTTATAAGCTTTGGTTTGTGATTAGTGAGTTTGAGAATTTCGGATTATCGTGTGATTGGAGGTTGTAGCTGGTTTGACATTTCAAAGGTTGAAGTTGAGAAGATTAAGAGAGTTTACTAAATGAAATCGTGTTGTTTATTTGCATGTTTTTCCTTTTTTTATGTAATTCTATTCATGATGAGAATTATTTTATTTACCTTTGGCGACGTAGCAAATTCATTTCCGTTCTCTCTGGCCTTTCTCTAGCCATTTTTGACAGGCTGCTATCTCTTGTTTGAAAGGTCCTGGTTTTCATCCCTTAGGTTTTTTGTTTTTTTGCTTTCCTGAGTCGGTGAAGAGGCGTGGCGTGATGGAATTTTAAAGCCACCTGTTTTGATTTGAATAATAAGCTTGAAATCTTCTTTACAACTTCATTTACGAGAAAGAATACTTTATTATAGTCTTCTGATTATACTGGTTTTAGCCTTCTAGCTGTGGGTTTTGATTAACTTTGGCTGATTTTGTTGCCTTGCTTTGTCAATCAGACAAGAAGAGTTTCTTAGGAGTTTGGAAGAATTTGATAAAAGAGTTTTGGATTGATGGGGGCTGGAAATTCAAAGGAGGAACCGTCAGTTCGTTCTGTTTCGTCGTCGTGGAGTGGTGCATATCCTCAATCCCCATATCCTCAGGAAGCATATCCATACGTTCAGGGAAGCCAGAGTTATGTTCCGCAGCAATCATATTCCGCACAGCCATATTACCCTCCTCCTGAAAACCATTATGGTGGTGCCGATAATGGAAAAAAGTTCGAGAGGCGATACTCGAGGATTGCTGATAATTACAAATCCTTGGAGGAGGTAAGATAGAATGGAATGTACCTAATGGAACAGTTTCTTTCAATATTAACTTTTGTTCAAAAAGTTAATAGAAACAAAAAAATTTCCTGCTTATTATGTCATATTTAGTTTAATGCCTGCTTCTATAACACTGACTTTCTAAGAAAGAAACAGGTTCCTGTGGGCTTTGTGTTATATGCTTGGAAGAACAGAATATTAATTGGTTGATAGCCATTGTTTATTCCTCGCTTGATGTTGCTGTATTAGTTATAATAACTTAATACTTGTGCACTTTTGTGATTATGCTCTGCAAATCTAATATCATTAGGTGAAAATTGTTGTCTATAGGTAACACAAGCTCTTGCTCGTGCCGGGCTTGAGTCGTCCAATCTCATTATTGGAATCGATTTCACAAAGAGCAATGAGTGGACAGGTAATAGTCAATTGTTGAGCTTAGTTTTCTTACATTTCTAAGTTGCAGTGTTGAATGCTGTTGAATTTTAATTAGGCGCGAGTTCATTCAACAAACGAAGCCTTCATGACATCCGAAATGGCCCTAATCCCTATGAACAAGCCATATCCATTGTTGGAAAAACAATGTCCGCTTTTGATGACGATAATTTGATTCCATGCTTCGGATTTGGAGATGGTATTTCCTTAACCCGTCGTCTGTTGGCTTTCTTGTTCTGTTTCAAACTTTCCAGCCTGCACATATATAAATTTCTCATGTGATTGGCATTTGGCAGCATCTACACATGATCAAGATGTCTTCAGTTTCTATCCAGATGATAGATTTTGTAACGGATTTGAGGACGTGTTGAGTCGTTATAGGGAAATTGTTCCCCATCTACGTCTTGCAGGTTCTGGAATAAACTATACTTCTTCACACCTTATTTTTCATCAAATTAGTTCTCAGATGTGAATGATTCTTATGTCCCTTATTATTCATGACAGGACCGACTTCATTTGCACCGGTTATTGAGATGGCAACGACAATTGTGGAGCAGAGTGGCGGCCAATATCACGTTCTGTTGATAATTGCTGATGGGCAGGTACTACTTTCAGTTCTTCTAAAGAAACAATTCTGAGGGAATTTTGTTTATTGATTTAGGACAAAAATTGCGACGACGGCCAAATAAACTGAAGCTGCGTTCCACCAAGAATGAAAATTGAAACTCAATTTAGAACTCAATAACCATTTTGTTTTTGGGTCTCTGTTTTTTAAAATTAAGCTTACAAACACTACTTTTCTCCCCTTTTTTGTTTCTTTATTTTGTTATCAACTTTTTAAAAATCTAAGCCAAAATTTGAAAATGGTATAATTTTTAGAAATAAAAAGCTATAAATCAAATCATTGTTGATTTACCGGTCTTCATGTGTGATTCTATCTCAAATTTTATCTTTTTCTGAATTGGTAATTATCTCAGGTGACGAGAAGTGTGGACACTGAACGTGGAAGGCTAAGTCCACAAGAACAGAAAACTGTTGACGCCATCGTGGCAGCAAGGTGAGTTATGAGTATATGATTTATATATTTGTGAATTTAGTTAACATTCTGTTCAGCCTTTAATTATTTGCTATGCTTTCATTTCAGCAATTTCCCTCTTTCAATTATTTTAGTCGGGGTTGGGGATGGACCGTGGGATACAATGAAAGAATTCGATGACAATATCCCCGCCCGTGCCTTCGATAATTTTCAGGTAAGCGGAGGCACTTGCGTTTCGTTTTCTATATCTGTTTCCTTAACCTACAACTTCAAATTTCAGAGACCTTACAATTTTTACCCATCTCTCTCTTTAGTTTGTGAATTTTACTGCGATTATGTCGAAGGACGTTCCCCAGTCTCGGAAGGAGACGGAATTTGCGCTTTCAGCTCTGATGGAGATTCCTTCTCAATATAAAGCTACCATGGAACTTAATCTACTGGGGTAAGAAGCATCTTATCAAACATCAGGAGATATTTTCAAAAAGGAATCTTCAACTTTATTGTCCCAATCAATCATTTTATTCATTCTTATCTCAGGTCTCGAAAAGGCAATGCTCCCCAGAGGATTCCACTTCCTCCACCTGTTGCAGCATCTTTCAGCAGTCCAAAACCTCCTCAATCCTTCAATTATCAGCCAAGTGTGCCTCCATATCCTCTCAATACTAATCCGATCGAAACCACTCCATATCCTCCGCATACTAATCCAATCGAAACCGTTCGTTCAATTGATATTTCATCCTACGATGACAAGGTTTCTATATTTTGCTCTTTGTGATTTGTATTGTTGTCTTGAATTGGACGGTGCAACCAGTTTTTAGTTTTTATTTGTGTGAGTTTGAGATGTCCTTTAGAACGACGTACCATGCTTCTATTAATACCAAGAGCTTGTTTTTGTGGTCACAGTTGTGCGGCATTTGCCTTAGTAACCCAAAGGACTTGGCATTTGGTTGTGGACATCAGGTACTTAATCTTCTATCCTTCAAGTCGAAAGGTATTACTGAAATTTGAGTTCTCTTCTCTCACGGATGTGCTTGGAAATGGCAGACGTGCGGCGAATGTGGACAGGATCTTCAAACATGCCCATTCTGTCGAAATCCTATCCACACACGGTTGAAGCTCTACTGATCAGATCTCAACTAGGCTGAAAGAATCGCCCAGGTTCGTGATAAAGTACAGATACGATGCCTCGATATCAAACGATAGAAAGCAAGCAATGGATGTAGATATGAATCATTTGATTCTTAATTCTTTTTTTTTATCACTGAATAATGCTACCAAAAAAGTTTGATGATTTGTGAGTTTTTTTTGGTCCAGTAGCCATAGCCAGGCCTCCATTACACTATACTTTATGTACAAAATGAAAGTGGGTATTGTAAATGAAAATTGGCCACTGGACTTGATTCATGATTCTTATTCTTCCTTTTTATACTTTTTGATATGTCTTTGTACGGTTTATAGGAAAATGTATAATGTAATGATATACGAGAGTACTTTTTCTCAAGCATTAAACATGGAAAATAAATTATCTTTTCTGTTTTCTTTTTATTTTTTTTATTAAGTTCGACAAACCAAAAAGGCCATTGAGGAGGGCGAATTCAAGATCTCAAATTATCATGTAATTAGGATGGCTTGTATGGCTTGTAGTAGGGTTGAGTGGTAAGGTTATAGTTGATTTTCTAATTAAGGTATGATAAAGGTTGTATTTAATATTTAAATATGTTAGTTTGAGTTATATTATACTTATGATTATGAATATCACTTATTTGAGGTAAAATTGGAACATTTAAGACTATTATTAGTTTAAATGAGTTTGAATCTCTACCTACACAGGTTGTTGTACTAAACAAAAAGACTTGTTTAAACAAACATTGAATTGTATGGCTCAAACACCCAAGTTCAATAAATATAAAATAATGTTTTAAAATAAATTTGAAATGGAACAAGAACCAAAAAAACTTGTTTGTATTATTTCCAAAAATTTTTAAACAATTTTGAGAATGTTTTTAAAAAATGAGAAACAAGAAACATAAATATTTGTTAAATGCTTAGATTTTTTAATAAAATTGAAAACGAAAAATGAACCTACAATACGGTCCTGATATAATTTTGTTGTTGCAGTAAAAGATGGGCTTATATTACATTATTCAGAGTCAATTTTATATACAAAGGAAAAAAGAAAAATAAAGGGAGTGAAGAGGTAGGGTAGGAGATCAAAACTTTCAAGGTGTATCGGTATAATCATAATGATTATTTTCTAGAATGCTACGACATATAAATAAAATAAGTGCATGAGCATAATTGTACATATCTTCAATCAAGAAATTGTGAGTTGGAACCCTCAACTCTACATGTTGTACTAAAAAATAACATAAAAAAAGACATATATATTTATATATAATGAAAGGTGAGATTCCAGTGTACGTGTTCTCTTCATTAGAAGTGGCGGTGCAAGCACGCTGCCAAAAATCTAAAATGTTGTATATAAAATATACATGGTAATTTTAATTTGAGTTCATTAAGTGTCTGTATTTTTAAATTGTTTGTTTTGATCCTTATCGTTTTTAAAAGTAACTATTTTAGTCCCTTAATTCTTATTTTTAATCTCAGTTTTTCTATCACAATTTCAACACGACACTATATTTAATGTATTTCTTGAAATTCAAGCATGATTTTATTTTAAATGATTTCGATTATGTGTAGAATTTATGTTAAAATTTTGTAAATATTTAGAGATCAATTTTAAAAGTATAGAGATCAAAACGAATATTTTAAAAATACTAAGAATTAAAATGAACATTTTGAGAGACTACAAAGACTAAAATGAACCAAAATAATATTTTAACTTAAAATAGTCATGGTCGAATTTAGTTTGATTCGGAAACTCAAAAAGAAAACAAATAAGCATGCATTTATGATAAACTAGTAAGAAATACGTGCCTTGCACGTATAATCTTGTAGTTCTAAATCAAAGTAAAATAAATATTATTTTTTATGTCTATAATATTATCATTTTAAAGAAAGAAAGTGATTTATAAATTCAAGGTATGATATTGTTATAATAAAATAAGATGATGAAAGATTAGCATGGAAAGTAAGTACAAATTTGAAGTGTAAAGAAAGATGAAAAAGCACCAACGTGTACGTTTTTTTTTAATGAATGAATGTTCTTAATTTACCTCTAATTTTCTTGATTATAAATTATTATATTACATTTTATCTTTGTTAAATTGTGTGACATTAAATCATTAAGTTTGTTCATTCTAGAATGAAAAAGAAAGGTAAGAATGAGAGAAAGAGTAAACCCTAAAAGGTCCAACCTTATGATATTGAGAGGGATAAAAATTGTTTTTTTGCCCTAACTTTGTAAAAATAATTACAACATTTCACATATATAAATCAAAAGCATCGCTTTAAAAAAAATAAATGAATAAAAATCAAACTCATAAGCATTCTTATTATCCAAATTATGAGAATGATCGAATTTTGCTTGATCTCGATTCCATTGACCACCATCTCGACACATCGTACTCTAGAATTTCTTTCAATCTGAACAATGATAAATTTGGAGAAAGCGAACTAATGTCATCAACTCAGCTTTAATTTGGCTTCTCTTCACTATCAATTATCCTCTCGATCACCCATATGTGCATTGTTGTTGTCATTGTTAAAGCAAGAGAGTAATCTTCATACCTTCACACCACTTAGAAAATTTTCTACATTGTTCCATCCACCACCTCTTCATTTTTGGTTGGCATGAGAAAGAGAGAACACATATTTATATACGGATTGGAAGGGGGTTAGGAAGATGAAAGGATTGAGAGAGGGTATGTGATAATTGGAAGGGGGTTAGGGAGATGAAATGACTGGGAGAGGGTATGTGGTAGATCAAAGGAGTTAAAAAAAATAAAGATAAAAATAATGAAAGAATAATTAAGAGAGAGAAGATTAGTAAGAGAAAATAGAGGAATTTAGAGGGGTGAGATCCTTACGGAGAGAAGAGATAAATTTAGAGGGCAAAAATAGTATATATAGTTAATTATATAGAAGAGAGAGAGGAGAGAAAAACACTTCAAATTCTAGGATTAAAAAAATAAATTAAATAGATGATAAAACTTTTCATATTCTAAACCAGATTAAGTGAAATTATAATTTTAAAAGAAAAAAAAGATAAATGGTTATTTGGGTAGGTTAATTTGAGTAATGCATTTGGATTTGGATGGTGGAGAAAAAATGAATGGAGAATAAATGTGAAAGAAATATAATGAGAGAATTAAGATAAATGAAGGCAAGAAAAGTAACTTGCATAGGTGGAGATAAAATATTTTCAAAGAAAAGAAAAGAGATAAATGAGGAAGTTGGCGTGGGAATGGGAGAGAGGAAGAAAGTAGGAGAGGCAAATTAAATTTGCCATCAAATTTTTATAAAAATGAGTTATTGAAGAAGGGTAAAATTGACCTAAAAAGTTTCTCCTCGTCCCGCCTTTTATATATACTATAGAATATAGATATAGATAGATTTCTGTTCTTTCCCATTCAGATTTCTGTTCCGAATTGGGGTGGGCCAATTTAACTGGGCTACCTATAGCCCATCAATGGTTCTCGTCGGCCCAATTAATTTGGGCCAAGGCTCGTAAACTGGCCCATCGTGTCTCAAAAGGCCCAATATTGAGAAACGGAGGGTTTTGGTGAGAAACCTCGCCGGAGAAGAACAGAGCGAGCTCCCTTCTCTCCGCTCCGTCGATCGATTTTCAGTCTCAATGAAGCTTCTCCAATCCGTCACCGGTAAACTCTTCTTCTTCCTCTTCCCTTATTCGCCATTGAAACTCGCCATTTCTTGATCTCAATCCTCTATTTTGGCTTATACGTTTCTCGCGCTTCCATTTCTGTTCAGGTCACAGCCGCTCGCTTGTTCGTCTGCTTGGACAGCGTCGATCTTTTGCTGCTTCTACAGAAGAGTACAGTAAGAGGAATTACGCCGATAATGTCGCCGAGTACAACACTGTAATTGGCTCCATCACTGCCCAGAGAAGGTCTTCTTTCTTGTTCCTTCTCTGCCCATTTCTGGTTGTTTTTTTTTGGTCGTGTGTGTTTGAAATGTTAGCTTTGTTCTTCGACGTGTTTCCGGTTCAGGTATTTCTTGTTGAGGGATGTGTACGACGATATGATGTTGGATGGAGTGCAGCCTACAATGGATGTTTTCCACTCGCTGATTACTGGAACCATGAAAGGTGCTCGTTTCCAGGATGCAATTTTCTTCAGGGACGAGATGAAGGCCATGGGTCTGATTCCTGATGTAGGTACTTTTAGAATTTGAACTGGGTCTTCTTCTGACGTTTGACTGTTTCCAATTAGTTGTCTTTTTGGTGACCTTAATTTCTGTATGTACATATGTTTTGCAGGTTACTCTGTATAACATGTTGATCTCATTATGTGGTAAATGCAAGAACTCTGAGGAGGCTGTCCGGGTAGGTCTCTTTTTGTTTTGGAAGTCTCAGACGGCATAGCCAGAGCTTTTCAATTTTTATGGTTGTCAACTTTTATCTGTTTGAATTGAAGATCTTAGATGAGATGAGGAGATATGAAGTGAAGCCACATTCGCAGACATACATCTGCCTACTTAATGCTTGTGCAGCTGCTGGTAGATTAGATCGCGTGTATGCTACTTCTTTCTCAACCTATCATTTTATCATCTTGCCTGAAAACATTATAATAATCCTGTATCTTTGATGATTTATTGATGTATAAATGGCTGAAAGAAATATTATCACCATTAAATTCAGTCATTTTATACTTGCTATGGATTAATGGCCTTAGAGTCACCTTGCTATTAGTTTCTTCAAAATACACAGAGACTATGGGCATGACCTAGTACTCCTTGGAGATTTGTATAATAGTTAACGTTTTTCATCAATCTTTTAGGTATACAATTGTCAGAGATATGACTGCTGCTGGCCTTGGCTTAAACAAGTTCTGCTATACTGGACTCATAGCTGCACACATGAACAAGAAACCTGTGGCAGATGATTTTGCTACTAAAGTAACAATCACCTCAGCTGTTCTTCATGTCCTTCTTAATGATTAGTTGGTGATATATAAATACAATGTTACTTTTTATGATAAGGTTGTTGAATTTGTTGAACGGTCAAAGGAATGGTTGTCAGTTGAAGCATCAAGTATAACAGCTGAAAATGTAATGATGGGTGTTTCAGAAGAGGAATTGTATAACATTCCCACTGCTGAATACGTTAACAGACGTGGAGGATTTTTGAACAGACAATTGACTGTTTATCATGTTGCTTTGCATGCTTGTGCAAATCTCAGGAATGTAGAGGTATCATTCATAATACCAGCAAAATCTTGATTTTATATTATAGGACAAACTAATTCACATCAGTCCTCTTTATTTCTTTCGTGTCCAATTGCATATGTGATTAGCTCGTTCTGCTATTTTTAGGTTTCCCAATGTCTAATGTCGTCATTTATTACATCCTAGATCTCATCTATTCTCTTCTATATCTGTGTAATACTTCTAACATAATTTCCAAAGCAAATATAGCTTAACAATAATTGACATATATCTTCAGTCTAGAGATGGTAAGTTCGATCCTCTACCCCCATATATTGTACTCAAAAAATAACTTCTAACATAATTTCTACCATGTATTGTGTATAAACTTCCTTGTAATGAAGTTTTGTATTTGACTTATTTTTTCCCTATCATAATTTCTTCTTTGTTCATCAAAGTAGGTAATGGAAACCATATTGGAGATGTTAAAGAAGGATGGAAAAACTCCTGATGTCTACATAGTGATTCAAGTCATGAGGTGAAAGGCTCGGTCCAAAAATTAGATTCTGCTGTCAATATGTCCATGCAGTTTATTAATTAGTGTCAAAGCATATATCAGCTAGATCTGGACTATTACTGATTGCATGGGTATCATTTTGTGGCTCACAGTTACTTCAGTGATGGAAGTTTAGAATTTTGTTTTGTTTGAGTCTGTTTTCTTTAGCTGATTGCTTCTTGCTTTGATGATAGTGACTGCAGTTATAAATTCTAAACGATCAAACTGTGAATGTGAGTTTCTGCATATCTAATGCAAGTACAGATTTGCCTTTCTTTGTGCCTTGATTCACCACAGCTGGATGTAATTATGATTGCTGAATGAGTATTTTCTGGCTTACGACTACACCAATGATGAAGGCTTGAATTTACTTGATTTATCTTACTGTAACAGTTCATCTGATCATTATGTTTCCATGTCGAACATGCTGGGCTTAATGGCTTCTGTATTGATGTTTATTTCTATTTGTTAAAGTAGTTAGGTCAAGCTTTGCATATCTTTTATTCTTGACATGTAGCTTGAATGGAAGTGACAAAGAATTGCATATTAGCAAGTATGCAGAATTTGCAATTGTCTTGTTTGGTTATTTTCGTCATATCATTCATAGGATACTTGGTGATCAAATGACCAAACCATCCCACCCCTGCTGAGTGATTCTTTTACTTTCATTGATATCACAATATGACCTATAATAAAGAAAACACGTATATTGCAAGGACTGCCACTACAGTTTTTCTGCTAAATATTTGTGCGGAGTTAGATGCTTAATTATTAATAATGATTACGTTGGCTGGATGAGCAAAGCCAATGTATTGAGATCTTTAATTTAATTACTCATTTCCTGATTTGGCAACCTAACTTCTTGCAGGTGCTATCTACATTCTGGAGATATTGATCGTGGTCTTAAAACTTTTGAGGAGCACTTGAATTCTGGAAGCCCTCCGTCTGCAGAACTCTATGCAGTGAGTTTTACCCAACTATGATACATTTTTGCTCTTAAAGCATCAGAAAATTTATTGCATGTTAACTGTTAGAATTCAAGGACACTGATGTACAACCTATAGAGTAGATCTTGTTCAAGTAAGGCCGTATTGTATGTTAATTGTTTCTTATCAAAAAGAGTAAAAGATCTATTGCCCTTGCTATCTTTGCTTTCTTAAGTTCGAGTGTGTTGGAGATTCCTTAGAACACACAGTTTGAGAGAGTGTGAGTTAACCTTTTCCAATATAGGTCTACTTTATTTCCCTTGCAAATGACACTGCCGTATTATGGACAATTCAAACGAATGATATGAGATTTTTACCATTAGGAATTCAGGATAATTACTGCCGACATTTAGCTATTGTTTCATTTGGCTGTAGACGCTTGTTGAGGGAGCCATGATTGGTCATACGCCAAAAGGAATGCAATTGGCTCAAGAAACATTGGTAACTTCCAAGTGCCTATTCCTACTAACACTACAATTGAAATTAATTATGCCTTAGGCCCTTAGGAATGTGCTTTTGATTTTAATGCTTATTTCAGGTAAATATGAATTCCAGGGGCTTTTTCTTGAGCCCAAAAATGGGGAGTGATCTCCTCCTTGCAGCAGCGGGTGAGAAGGTAGGTGGTTTGTCATGTTCTAGTTTACACGACTCTTGTTGTTTGGTGCTCAAAATTCTTAGTTTATGGGGTTCATATATAGTTCATAAAACGAGTCCATTTTTTCGTGTTCTTTTGTTAAAAAAATTCAACGTTCACTTACAGACTGGTGGATATACAACTGCCAATTATATATGGGACCTCTTGCAAGCTCGAAAAATAACACCTACATTCCCAGCTGTGGAAGCTTATTACAAGGGGTTGAAGGTGACTCTCTTGCCCTTCACTTTAATCTTTTTGTTTTATATTTTGATATTTGATAATTAATACATATGACTCCACTGTAGTAGTTAGGATCTGGTCGAGTTGAGACTCATCATTGGTTGGTTCACCAAACTGTCACTGCATTCATTTCTGTGATATTTGTTATGTGTGGATGATCTTACTAATTGGATATACTTGGTTCTGATTACTTAATTGAGCAAGCTCTATGCATGCCCACATTCTATTTCCTCCTGTTAGGGAAAAAATATGAAAAAAAGAGGCAAAACATGTCACAAAAGTTGTGGAGTTGCAAAAGGGCTCACCAACGATCATAGGACGTGCTTTTTTTAGCTCTGTTTTCCAGTTGCAGTTATTTTTCCCAACATTTCATGTTTTGATTTGCAGGAACGTGAGATTCCTGAAGATGATCCTAGGCTTTTATTAGTTTCTCGAACCTACGACAATCTTCGGGTCAGATTTGGTGGAGGCAGACCTGGCCGATCATAATTCAAATCGAACAACGCCAGGTAAATTTCCATTGGTTTTTCTTTGCTGGGACCGACCTTTGCCTCTAGCCATACCAGGGGAGCTTTTGCAGAGTAACATTGTAGTGTTCTACATGCATTGAGTCGTGGGATGGAGAGCAGTGTGTGAGAAAGCTTATGTATGTTATTGGTTGCCATAGAACTAATGCTGTTAGGACACAGAAGATAGATTGTCTGTCCTTTACATTTGAAATTGCCATAATTCTTTCAGAATAACAACTGTTCCAATTTCAATGGATTTTTGTACCAGTTGAAATTGTGCATTATGTGATGTGTATCAGACCGTCTTCAGGTCGTTTACCTTGAGAGTTGGGCGTTCTGAAATGTGAAAATGGAGATTTAGACCCATTTGGTAACGTTGTTGTTTCTTATTTCTACATTTTGTTAAGAAATCTCATTATTTAGCAACTAATTATGTTTCTGGCATTCTCAAAATTGTATAGAAATTTTAGAAACAATCATGATAAGTTTTTTGTTTCTGGTTTCTGTTTCCAATTTGCTGCAAAACATAAATAATACATTGTTTGATTCTAGGTGTTGGGGTCATACAATTCTATTTTTATTTATTAAAAATGAAGAAACAGAAATAAAATACAGGAATGTTATCAAATGGCCGTTACGAACGGCCCTTAGGTATCAAGAATGGAAGGCAAGTTAGTTACGAACGGCCCTTAGGTATCAAGAATGGAAGGCAAGTTAGTTTCACTACTTTTTATGACCATATTTGAACATTTATGTGGCTATGTGATGTTTGGTAATTGCCATTTAGGTAATGTACTAGTTGATTTGGACCATTTTCTAGCATTATTTTTAGATTGAAATATTCTTAAACTTTAGTTATTTTTAAATTGATAACGATTTATTTCTTTGTATTTTTAAATTGGTAACAATTTAGTTTTTGTAATTTTAAATTTGTAATAATGACCTACTTTATTAGTTTAATGACCTACATATATAAGAAATCCTATTAATTCTTAATAACATTCCTCAAGGGAGGGACTTAATCGTTATAAATTTTCAACTACTAAGGACTAAATTATTTATTTAAAGTTCGGGAAGTATAGGGATCGTAAGTATTTTTAAACCTTATTTTTGGGAGATTGATTCTATTTTCTAGCAGTTCAGGTAATTTACTCACTACCATGAATGAAAATTTTATTAAGTTGTAATAAAGTTTCTTACGATTATCTCTTTCTATCCACTTTTTTTTTTTACTTCTTTTTAATATATGAGTGTTTTGACTAGTTTGAATCTCACATGGCAACTTCCCTACAATATTTGGTGTCGCAAAACTAATTTCAATATTTGGTGTCGCGAAACTAATTCTCACGGTGTAATCATCAGAAATTTAAACTTATCTCTATTCCTTTATCATTTTTAATAAAATTAAAATTCTTTGTATTTATGTTTCTCTTTCCTAGTTGTTAAATATTCAAGGGGATTGTGACAAGATATGTCATAACTATGGAGGAGCTAAGTAGTTTATGTAGATTAATTTGATACGGATCAAATGTATTTTTAAACTAAAGCAAGTAAATCGTTACAAATTAATAACTTAGTAAAATATATTTTTGGTCATTGAGTTTGAGGATAGATTTCTACTTGGTTTTTAAAAATCGACACTTTGGTCCCACATTTAGAAAATGATTTTTTTTTTTTTTCAAGAAGTCCGTAGAGTTAAACTTCCACAATTTGAGGTATTAAGTGGTATTTGTGCCTTTTTTTTTAAATTTTTTTTTTTAAGAAAACTGCATATATAAAACTTAATCCCACACAACACCCTTCAAACCTCCGACGAGTGAAGCAGAGAACTTCGGACAACTTTTTCAAAGTTAAACCGTCTTCGTTTTTCTAGTATTCTACCAATTCCTTCTTCAAAGTTACTATTAAATTTTGGCTCACCCTTGTCTTAGCATCAACCGGAGTAGTGGGCAAACATTGGTTCGGTTTTTTCTACTTTCCCGAATCGAACTGAACTAATGTTTTAGGTTTGAAAATTTAGAAATGTAATATTATCGTGTCGGGAACTTACACTGATAGGTATTGAGAAGAGTACCTTGAAATCAAGAGAGGAGGGAAGAAAGAAGATTGAAGGGAAGCGAGAGCAACTCCGAGTACAATGATGCTGAAGAGGGAGGGAGAGAACGGAGTAGGCAGCAGGCAGCTAGTGAATAAAGAGAAGAGCACAAATGCCACATCATTTGAAATAAACATATCAGCCATTGCCACCTAATACCTCAAACTTCTACATTAGCATTCCATTACACTAATGAAAGTATAACTCCAAGGACCTTTTAAAACCATTTTCTAAAGGTCGGTGACCAAATTGTCTATTTTCAAAACATAGGAACCAAACAGAAATATATCCTCAAACACAGTCACCCTAATAAAACATCATAAACTGGTCTAAAATCAAAATCATTTGCTGATTCATATTGGACTTGATCCACAAATACAAAGTAGAATAAAAACAGAATTATGTAATTCTGTAGGGAGGAGATGAGTGGACAAATAAAGAACTGACAAAAAATGCAGGATTCTCACCAAATGTACAAACTTTGTTAAACCAAAATATTGAGTCAGCAAAGTAAATAGCTTGCCTTGCCAAGTAGAGTTATGATGGTCACTATCACTATACATTCAATGTTTTTGAAAGGATACACTGAACTTAATCATGCTGTTTTTTTGCACAAGAGTAAAACAACTTGCACAAAAGGATTCATCATATACACAAAACAAGTACTTCCCTCCTTCACTTTACAATCACCCACAACATCCACCTCTCTGTGAAACTGTTCCATCTCTGGCCCCCGATGGCCCTTGAGGGCGTCCATAACCGATCTTGATTCCAGATGACTGCAATATTTTGTGAAATGTAGGAATTCATCTATGTTCTTCATGCTTGCAATAGGTTTTCGAGACACAAACTATGCCAAAAAAGCTCAGAAAAAATGAAAATTATATAAAGCAACCTCTCATGAATGCTAGGACATGTGCCAACCGCTTGACCCAAAGTACTCTTTTATGAGTTACCAAAGAACCCAACCCTTATCCCGACATGTGCCAAATGCTTACGCACATTTCAACTAATGTCTCGATTTGCTTACGCACATCTCTCAAGACAATTGCTCGACCCTACGACATTTGTTAACTAAAAACTCATCGATTTTTTCTTTCTTTTTTTTTCTCCTTCCAGCGAGCAACCAACTTTCCTTAAGAAAAAATAAAAGAATACACGGGCCATTCAGAAAACATCCTGAACCACAAAAACAAACTAACTAGGCTCTTATCCAAGAGAATCCAGCTTGAGGGACAGTTACAAAATTCCTTAGATAAAAATGCCCAAAAGGAAGCATTAAATCTAGATCAAACCTCTCCTCAAGATCACTCCACACTATTGAAAATTCTACTATTTCTCTCTATCTAACATCAAAGAACCCAACCCTTATCCCGAAATGGAGGGTGAAAAAGCACGTCCAACATAAAACCAATGTTTTAAAAGGCTAAAGGCGGCCTTGAGGCTTTTTCTCTTGAAAAGGCGAGGCGTAAGCCTCAAGGCGATATGAGGCGTAAGCCTAAATTTTAATTAAAAGAATTAAACAAATCCTAAATTTGTGTGGTCAAGTATTACCAAACATAATAGTTATATAAAATTATCAAAATATCCACCTGTTACTTGTCACTCAAAAAAATTCTAAAAAAACATCATAACATCACTACTATTATCACCAATAGAACTTACTTATTCTATAAATTGTTGTCTTCAATATTTTTAAAGTCTAAGTAGTAAAAGTAGTAATAGATTGAATTGTTACAACTCCTGCTTAGGATTCCATACAAAAAAAAAACCTTGATATTTTTTAAGAATTGGAAAAATTAATAGTATTCTTGTAATCATTACACGAGGCATATACTTTAAGCCTCAGTGCGTTTTCAAAGAGGCGTAAGCCTCTTCTATGCGAGGCGTAAGCCTCTTATAGTCCAAAGAAGGCGTAAGTCTTGAGGCTAAAAGTTAGAGCCTTGCCTCGAGGCGGGCCTCAAGGCGTAAGTCTCAAAAGCCTTTTAAAACATTGCATAAAACAACAACTCGTAGAATTTTAATATATTCTAGATAGATTGTTAGTATGGAGTTTGAACTCATTATTTCAAAGTCCCTTATACTATTTTCACACACCTCACCAATTATCAATATTTTTAGCACAAAAAATTGGTGCAACTTACCTCATTGGATACATCAAAGACACCTTCTTGAATATTTTGAAGTATTTTCGCTGAAGTCTTTATGAATGCCTGTAAAATAAAGCATCATAATGATCAAAATACTAAAAATAAACAAGATTCAAACTACTTTTTTCGTAAATCGTAAGCACACATCAGAAATAAACCAACCTCCTCAACATTCTGAGCTGTTCTAGCAGATGCCTCTAAGAATAAGAGTCCATTTTCTTTTGCAAATTGTTCTCCCTCTTCTTTGCTTACAGCTCTTCGATGAGCGAGATCAGCCTTGTTCCCGACGAGCATAATTGACATATTGGAATTTGCATGCTGGCGAGCATCCTCCAACCAGCTTGCCAAGTGATTGAATGTCTCTCTCCTGACAACAGAATCATGGACTGATCTTAGATTTCTCAAAAAGAAAACAAATCAACAGCTCACCCAACCAAAAAGTTTAACTCGTAAAGAAGGGGAAAATTTAAGATGGTAAGAAAAGTTATCCATCCATTCATAGTTCACACTCACCTAGTTATATCATAAACCAACAATGCACCAGCTGCTCCCCGGTAGTAAGATCTTGTGATCGATCTAAATGATTCTTGCCCAGCCTACAATAAACTAAAATGTCATTATCTACCCAAACAAAATTTCATAAAAGATAAATATCGATTTTGAACAATGCAAGAAAAAGAAAATCACTGTTCTGCTGTTTTGAAAACATAAGAAACTGTTTGGCAGATGCTTTGAGAAATAGCTTTCTGTTTTTTCTAGAACAAAAACTCGAAGGTTAAAAATTGTTCTCTCTTACATTCTTTTAGTTCAATTTACCAATCACGAGTTCGTGGATAATGATGTTAAGTATACAATAACTTTAATCTTATAAGCCATTTGTTGTATAAACTAAAAGTTTTGCCCCTTATTAAAAAAATTTCTGGATTCGCCCCAAAATAAAGAGCAACAAAAGACCACAACATGACAGGAAACATTCTTAATAGAAAATATTTCATAATCTGTTCTGAATCAATTGATATCAATAAAAAGATTACTCAACAAATTCATAAACCAAACAGCTACTCATCTAGAATTGCTCATCCTTAATGGAATCTTCCAGTAACTTTCTCAATTTCATTTTTCCACCAACATTATTCCTTCAGTAGGAGTACAAAGAAGCCAAAAAACTCACAGTATCCCATATCTGAAGCTTAATAGGACGGCCATCAATGGTGACCATACGAGCACCAAACTCAACGCCGATGGTGAGATCGTGAACAGGCTGAAACCTCTTGTCCGTGAACTGCAACAACAAGCAGGATTTCCCCACACCTGCAAAGTAAAAACAAAAACAAAAAAACAAACCCTAAATTCGAAACCAATCCTCACAATTATTCCAGAAGAAGAAGAATCAGAGTATTGAGAGGAACAAATTAAACCTGTATCGCCAATGATTATGTACTTGAAGAGGTAATCGTAAGACATAATAGACGAATCGGCGATGTGGGTTCGTTGAATTGGAAGGGGAATTTGGGGGAAGAGGAAAAATCCAGAGATTTGAAGAGAGAATTTAGGGAAGGGAAGAACTTTTTGACGGGAAAATCACCGACAGAGTATGAGAAAACGGCCCCGCCCGCGCCGAAGGCTGAGGGGATTTTGGTTTTGTTTTATTTTTTATTTTTTATTCTGGATATTGTGATTTTCCATTTTGTACGTTGCGTGTGGAGCAGGTATGTATTTTATTCCTCAATTTTCAAAATAAATATTTTTTGGTTAGCGACTGTCTATGCGGTCTTTAAAATTTTAAAATAGAGGCTATTTATTCCTTAAGTTAGAAAATTTGTCCCAAGCAGTCCTTGAAACAGAAAAATGACGTGGCAAAATATTAATTTTATACATAATTTTTTTAATCCAACTAAACACATTTTCTTTCTTCCTTCTCTCATTTTCTTTCTCCTCTCTTCTTCTTTATTATCTTCATCTTCTGGACATTGTCCACTGCCACACGTCGTCGCCGCTATCGTCGTGTGTAGTCGTCACTCGCCGAAGTGAGGGAAAGCTTCTCCCTCTCTCATTCGTTCTAAGACGGGAGAAAGAGAAAGGGAGGAGGAAGAAAGAAAATGCTACCTAAAAGAATAGGTAAAAATTAATAATTTTGTCGTATCATTTTTCTGTCAAGTCAACTACTGCTTAAAGGATGCTCAATGATGATTTAGAATAACTTAGACTTCAACGAACAAAAAAGTCTATTTTAAAATTTTAGGGACAAAATAGACCTCTACTTTAAACCTCACAKACCAAAAATGTTTAGTTTATGCTACTTCAAATTAAATTTTAGGACCAAAAATGTATTTTTTCCATTGACTGACTTAACCATTGAATTCATATTTTAATGTATTTTCAAAAACTATTTGCAAAAAGATATCTCAATTATTGGGTTATTGCACTTATACCCTCCAACTTTTAGTTTAATCAATCATATTTAATGTTGTGATTTTTTAAGGTAATAAAATATTATTATCCCTTGATTTAGTCCATAAATTTTAATTTGTAACGATTTAGTCTTTGTATCTTTTAAAAAAAAAAAAAACTTTAGTATGTAACAATTTAGTTTTTGTAGTTTAAAGTTTGTAACTATTTAGTCCTCATCGTGAAAAATTATGTTACGATTTAATTGTTAATTATATGATAGAAATCGACACTTGATTTTGATGCGATTTTTCAAAGTAGGGATTAAATCATTATAGATTTTAAACTATAGGGACTAAATTGGTACATGCTAAGTTGATGGGCTAATTTATTACTATACGTAGACTAAATCGTTACAAACTAAATGACTTTACTTCAATGAAAGTATAGGGACCAAATGCGTTTTTTTAATCTTTTTTAATTCAACAACATACGGAGGTGGAGACTCTTCCCACTTTTTAATTGAAGATATATACTCTAACTAGTTAAATTATGTTCAGATTGACAATAAAATAGAGAGGTTAAATCGATTGAGAGAGAGCATTAAAATTCAAATCAATGCTTTTAAAAGGATTGATATAATGAGAAGTTGATGAGTAAAACTACTAGAAAAAAGTTATTAATGTTGGAAGAACATATATTGAGTTTATAAATTTCGTTTTATTTAGTTAAATAATTAAGTTGAGTTAATTAATTTATTAATTAGTGTTTAGAATTTTAACTGCAATTTCCATTATGTTTGTGAAAATATAGGATCTTTGAAACTTTTCATGAATGAAAATAATATCTTCTAACTTCCCTCAATAAAATGACATCTCAATTCCTAATTAATTAACTAAAATTAACAAATCAACTAATAAATTCATATTTTCTTCCTCCTATACTAATAATTTCTACACACAACTGCCTTCTTTGTTTCACAATATGCGACAACATCCACCTCGTCGTGTATCTATCGCCTTCAATCGATCTTGAGGACGTCTGTAACCCATCTGGATCCCGCATGACTGCAACATTCAATAAAATGTAAAAATCAATCCTTTATATTCTTTAAACTAATAATTAATATTTAAACTCAGAAAAAATGTAACTTATAAAAAAAAAATATATCTTTATCAATGCCAACTAAATAATCTTACAATACATCACCATCAAATTAAAGTTCTACCTACAAATGATTGTTAATCAACAAAATTTTAGTTTTTACCAAAAAAAAGAAAAAAAAAATTGCCCAACATACCTCACTCAATGCATCAAAGACGCCCTCTTCAATATTTTGAAATATTTTAGCTGCAGTCTTTGTAAATGCCTGTAAAATCAAACAGATGCTAAAAGGTAAAATAGGACAGTAAACATTTTTGGAGAAACCTAGATCAAAATAGGACGATTTATTTCAATTTGGTCCATATAATTTGAATTGAATGATCTTTATAATTTAATCAAACTTCACAAATCATCCCATCAATTAATTATGGAAAGAACTTTCCTCGTGAATCCCTGTGTGGTCCAGTAACATATAAACAAGGGGATCACGTAGAAATTATACAAAATTTAAAAATTCAGGATCTTCCATCAATTACTATATCAAGAAAAAAAATATTATATGACAATAAAATGATTTTCTATTTGGTTACTATTGAAAAAAAAGAGAGAAGGATAAACCAAAATGAATGTTTATTTTAAACAAAATTTATAATTTAAATTAAAAAAAAACTCACATCCTCGACATTTAGAAATGTTTTAGAAGAAGCCTCCAAGAATAAGAGTCCATTCTGTTTGGCAAATTGTTCTCCCTCTTCTTTGCTTACAAGTCTTTGATGAGTGAGATCTGCTTTGTTCCCGACCAGCATAATTGTCATGTTCGAATTTGCTTGCTGTCGAACGTCCTCTAGCCAGCTTGCTAAATTATCAAATGTCTCTCTCCTAATAATAATTAATTTAGTGTTAATTTACTAAAATACTAGGATATGCTTTTTCATGTTCAAAACTGAAATCCTAATTTAGTTAGATTTTTAGAAAATAATTAGAAATAAATGAAAATGTAATTTACCTAGTTATATCATAAACTAAAAGAGCTGCGGCCGCTCCTCTATAGTAAAATCTTGTAATTGATCTGAATTTTTCTTGTCCAGCCTGTAATTAAATTATATTATGTTATTATCGACACGAAAAGAAATTCTCTATCCAGTACCAGTAGGGTTTAGCAAACATATTATTATATATCTTCTTCGAATTATTTAAATCAAACCACTAATGTAAATAGGTTGGACTTGGAAAAATAGGAGTGGAATTTGTAAAAAAAAAAGGTACTTACAGTATCCCATATTTGAAGTTTGATATGTCCGCCATTAATGTTGACAATTCGAGAACCAAATTCCGCACCGATCGTCACATCATGAATCGGCTGAAATCGGTTGTATGTAAATTGTAACATGAGACAAGATTTTCCCACGCCTGCAAAAACCGACAACAAAAAAATTCTCACAATCCCACGTTGAGGAGTGGGCTACTCCTTTTCTTATTAATTGGTTTTGGTTTTGAGATAGAACATTGGAATGTTGATACAATTTCAAAAAAAGAATTAGATTAAAAAAGAACAAAGACTAATTCATATCCAGAAAAATAAACCTGCATCTCCGATGAGGATGTACTTGAAACAGTAATCGTAGGACATGACGAACAAAATTTTACTTCTTTATTTCTAATTGAGAAGAATGGTACGCGATTAAACTTAATTAGCAATAAGTCGTATTTTATAAGACCCCAATTTGAGTCCTATTCCTACAAGAGTTTATAAACTTAGTTTTAATATATTTTGTACCCAATTTGAGTCCTATTCCTACGAGAATTTCCAAACTTATTTTTAATATATTTTGTATTATTCAAATATTAATTATTTGATTTATATTCCAATTCTTAAATTTMTCTTGTATTATATCTTATTTTTATCTAAAAAATATATTTTTTTCAAAATTTGAGTTATTGATTTAAAATTTTGAGTATGAGAAAAATTATGGGGTGTTGAATCAATAAGTCATGGGGTTTACGTTTATGCCCCCATTTTATTTTTGGAAATTTGTAATTGATGGTTAAAATGTTTGTCATATTTACGAATATAATAACAACTTTTAGGTTATTTTTTATTATTTAGATTTTACCCTCTTCAAAATTTTTAATATATCAATGGGGTATCAAAACAGGTATGACACGTGGCTTCAGATTTTGCTACTTTTGCAAATTAAATTGTGGTTGCTAATTTTGCTAGCATCTCTTTTATCTTTTTACATATTAATATAATTATTTAAATGATAATTATAATGTGATTTTTAGAATATAAAACACTAGTTGATATTTAAATAACTTTTAATTAATGTTCAAATATATCTCCAATAGATAATAAGACACGATGATATATCAAATCTTAGTTTTGCAATTGAATATGAAAATATTTGCTATACCTAATGTTTCACACTTTTCACAATGCAACTCAAATTTGATATGTGAATTTAAAAAATTATAGGAGTAAGAGATATAAAATATATAAAGTAGTAAATATAATTTTGTTATACTTAAAAATATGTGTATATATAGATTTTGTTTAAAAATTTTATAGTTCAAATATAAATTTTCGATCCAAAGTCTAATTTGTTCTAAGATTTGGATTATGCCCGGAGGGAAGCTAATGTGTGAGGATCCTCATTTTTTTATTGGGTGTGTGCTCTATGATTTTAATCTCTAAATTCATAATATAATATAAAAATGGYAGAAACTATCTCTAAATTACAAGATTATTATTATTTTCCCACCCGTTTTAACTTTCAATATAAATTGATTATAACTTCGTGTTAGTGTGACATATTACAAAATACGTACACTACACCGAATTATAGTTAGTAGAGATTGTTGGTAGAATTGAACTCGTAACTAAATTTGAGTTTTTTGTTATTCAATAAAATTTAAGAACTATAAAATTAACTCTAATTTTTTTTAAATTTAATAACTATAATATGATTTGGTCAGCTCAATTCAATTTCGGTTTATTTGGTGGTCGATTTTGTTGGTATGAATTAGTTTTGGTTGGATGGACAATTTGAATTTTAGAAAAATCAATTCAATTTTGACATTATTTTCATTTTCTTGAATGTGGTTATCAACACACCAATTTGCTTGAATGTGGTTATCATATGTTTTGTGAACAAAAAAATAATTGTTTAATCTCACTTTTTTTTTTGGACAAAATGTTTAATTTCACATATACTTTTAATTGTGCTTTCTTTTAATACAACATACTCTTAATTAATTGTATTTAATAGGCTTTTATTATAACTCTATTAGTATAATATTTATTATGTCATTCTACCTATATTATATAAAGATTACTCTCAGAGCATGTCAAATAGTATTTAAATGGCATAATATTACATTATATTAACTAGATTAACAATAGAGATCTATTAAAAATATAAAATTTAAAGTTTAAAAACCTATCAGAAATTTTTTAGTGTATAAAGATTAGATAGACACAACGTTTAAAATTAGAGAATTTTTTAAAGTGCAAAAACTTATCGACGCAATTTTTAAAGTTAGAGGACCAAACTTATAATTATTTAACCTAAAATCTGATGTTTGAAGTTGTTGATGCAATTTTTGGGAACTCGGATCGGGTCGAGCAAACCAAGTRATTCGGAGAATCGACCGTCGAGCTTTTGGATAAGGATTTGGTTCGAAAGTTTGGAGGGGCTTGGATCTGCAATAAGAGAGAAAACAAGAAAACACTGGTGTGGTGTCGGCCGACCACACTCCGATGCTTAAGTCAGTTGATGAGCTTTAAGCGTGGAAGAGAGGAAATGAGCAAGTCTTGAGTGAATTGCTTGAAAAAGAATGACATACCTCCCTTCTATTTATAGGTTTTGATGGCAGTGTGAACAGATGTTGAAAAGTCAAAGAGGTTTGTGTCAAAGTCAACAGCCGCTCTATAATTGGCTCTATAATGAGACCAATAATTGCGCAAAGAAAGTCGGTGGGCATCTTACATCAAATATCCGCGCTATGGTGGCGGCTTCGTTGGCGGTGGTCAAAGAAAATGGTTGAAAAAGAGGGTGCGACCTAATAGGCCGCACAAAAACGGGGCCTACTGCCACASRRSGSSGSSKCYSCKCWCMYSTSYCCCYYTYWSMGYKTTWTWKTGYG